TGGGGAGCCTTTGTAGGCGGAGGGCTGAGCTCCCCTGGGGAAGCAGATGGAAGAGAGGGTGGCTCCAACTGCAAATTGGATTGTGTTGTGGGGGGGGGGTCGGGGATCTGAGACACTAATTCCGGAGGGATTGGTGGGGGGGAGGGGTTTACGATCACAGCTTTATTTCCTGTTCCCGGACACAAATCCGATTGGGGGGAGGAGGAGGGAAAGGGGAAGGGTCACGTGGTCCCGCTCCATCTGCCTTATCCCTTCCGGGGATTCTCCAACTCTTTCTGGTGACGTCATTTATTAACCCTTCCCTTGCTGTCAGGAAGGGGCGGGAGTGGGGTGGGGATGGGGGCGGGGACGGGAACCATCCAGGATGGGAGAGTTCCAGACTCAGAGGGGAAGATGGAGGTGGGAGTCGTCCCCTCCCTGGGCATCCCAGTTGGTGATCGGGGACAGGGACAGGGCAGAGAGAGGGGCAAGGTGGCTCATGGAGGTCAGTGGGGCAGTGGCCTGGACCAGCTCTGCCCAGGGAGTGGGAGGATGAGGGAGGAAATGGCAAGACCTAATGTTCTGGGGTCCCTGAGGGAGTTTGAGGGGAGAGGCATGGCCTGCCTCCAGGAACCAATAGACTGATGGGGAGACCTCAGACCTGGCCTCCTCTCATATTGAGGGGACACACGTGGCGTCTGCAGGTACCCCTTGCTCTGAGTGGGAGACATAGCCATGGCTTCAGAGTCTGTTGATCTGCGGGGGAGATAGGGGACCTGCCCTCAGCCCTACCAGACCCCCCTTTTTAAAGAGGAGACATAACCTCCTCAGGGACACCCCCACAGTCTGAGGGGAGAAATGATCTTTCCTGTAGGGATCCCCTTAATCTGAGAGGCTTGGCTCAGTTCTGTCTTTATTGAGGAGCAGGCCCCCCCCCATGCCCAGAAGACTGTAAGGGGATCCCCCTGGGAGCCAGGCCTCTCTGTGGAGTGGAATTCTGTACGCGCCAGGGGCAGAGTTGGGTCTCAGCCAAAGGCACTTGGTTCCTGTCTCCATCCCCAGGGAGCCAGTGGGGCTCAAGGGTTCCTCCCTCTCTGCTCCACCCCCTCTTTCACCCCAGGTTCAGGGTGTGTCAAGAAGGTTTTATTTTCTAAAAATCTCTGAGCAGGGCTCCAAACTGAGACAAAACCTTGGGCTGCCCACCCCGCCTGCCCACCCGCCTAGCCAGGAGCAGAGCTGGGTATTAATAACCTCACACAAAGGAAGTGATTGAGGCAGCTAATTAAACATGAGTTTCCCCCACCCAAAAATAGGGGGCCTGGAGCCTTGGGGTGGGTGGCACTCTGTCTCCTTTCCCTGGGACTATTTTGGGAGCCACCAGGGGCTGGGCAGAGAGGGCATTTAGGGACACTGGCCTGTGGGATACTGATTCTGGGGACCCTATGGATGGGGAACAGTGGGCATAGCCTGGGCATTGAGGATAAAGGCTTGCAATCCAGGGAGCCCATGGTGGCAAGCCTCTGGTACCTTCATTCAGTCAATCAGCAAGCAACTATTAGGAGCATACTGTGTGCTAGGTCGGGCAGCTAGGTGGTGCAATGGGTAGAGCACTAGGTTTGGAGTCAGGAAGACCTGAGTTCAAATCCAGCTTCAGATATGTACTAGCTGTGTAACCTTGGGCAAGTGACTTAGCCCTGTTTGCCTCAGTTTCCTCACCTGTCAGATGAGCTGGAGAAGGAAATGGCAAACCACTTCAGTGTCTTTGTGAAGAAAACCCCAAGTAGGGTGATGGAGAATCAGACATGACTGAAAATGAGTAAACATATGCCAGGCACTGAGGATATGAAGACATAGATGAAACCGCCCCTTCCCTCAGTGGGAAGACCCTCCACTTGGAGTCAGAGGTCCTAGGTTCAAATTCCAGCCCTGCCAGATACAACCTCAGACTTCCATTTCCTCATCTGTAAAATGGGTTGGATTAGATGGCCTCTGGGATCGCTAGAGTCATGGCCCTATAACTTGAGTCTTGTTTCCTGGACAGCTTAATTCACCAGCAAGTCAAGACATCCCCCATGATGGCACTGATCCTCCTCAAAATGAAGGATGGGCAAGAGTCCCAGACCTTGCTGTATGAGGAGGGAGGGTCTCTGGGGGTCATCTTGATCCCCTCCCCCACAGTCTTGTTAGAAGGCCTTCCTCAGGACCATCATCCCGATCCTCAATTGGGTGCTACCTTCCAAAGAAGAAGAATGCCTGATTCTGCCCAGGAGCCCCTGAGCTGGGGCTGACTCTGTCCCTTGTATCTGTGGGGTGTCAGTGGATTAGTGCATAGAGGAGAGGAGGGGCAGGATATGGTATACAAAGCCTACAACCTGCATTCTATGTATCAGTCAGTGAGCATGTATTAAGCACCAACTGTGTGCCAGGCATTAAGAATACATAGAAAGGCAAAGTCAGTCCCTGCCCTCAAGGGATGGACATTCTAATGGGGAAGAAATAGGAATAACTATGTTCATGTAGCATGAAAAGGGAGGTGATTTCAGAGGGTAGGCATGGGGGGGGAGGGGAACCAGGTAAGGCCTCGGGGTGTTTGTGTTGGGGATTCTAAAATCTTCAATCTGGAACTGAAAGGTACCTTAGAGGTCATCTAGTCTAACCTCTCAATTTTACAGAGCAGGAAAGTGAGGGTCCATGACTTAGCCAAGGTCACATAGTTGGGATTCAAAACCAGCTTCTTTGACTCTGGGCCGATGCTCTTTCCACTGTACCACAATGTCTCTCTGCATAGAGAAGGCTTCTGGCCCGGCCCAGTTGGCTGGCTCCCCCCCTCACTCCCAGCCCCCCCTTTGCTTCTTGCAAGCAGCGGGCAGGTCATTTGGGGGCTGGGCCCCTCCTTTCAGCCTCAGGCTGCTTCTGACCTAGTTAAGCTTGGAGGCCGGAGTGGGAATCACAGTGGGAGGGAAGGCCGGGGAGCCCAAAGTATGTGCTTGTGTGTGTGAGCGTGTATGAATCTCTGTGAGTGCCCAAGAGCATCAACCCCTCTCCTGCAGCCCTTCTCCTCCCCCCTGCTCCCTGAGAACTGCTCCTTCTCCCAGGACCCTGCTTTGAGCTCCCCCACCTAACTCTCCCAGCTCTCTGGGAATCCCTGGGCAGGCTGAGAAGGATTAGACTCTCTTGGGAAGGATGGAAGAGGCAGGGAATGTTTGCAAACACGTTTGACGCCCCCCCCTCCCCATGCATAGCGATGTGGTGGGGCCCTCCTGGCATTGAGGCCATGGGAGTTTGGAACCTGGACATGCAGCTGCCCTCATTCAGAACCGGTGCTGGGGCCAGAGGACCGGCTTATTGGGTGTGGCTTCTCTGGCCACTGTGGGTGGGGGCTGCAGGGCTGCCCAAGGAAGAGGGATGTTGTGGCCCCAGCATCATGATCCTTGCCCCCTCCCATGCCCCTGTGCATTTGGACCCATTTGGCGGGTGACCTGGCTGCAGCCCAGAGCTTCTCCCACCTTTACCCCTTACATCAAAGTAGCTTCAGGAATATCCAGCTGTCAATCTATCCACTCCTCTCCTTTCCCTGTACCACTGATCCTTTCCCTTTAGGCTCTCCTGGAGACTGGAATCCTGTATAACCAATGCCCCCTCCCCCAATATTTCCTAATTAATTATCCATTTGACAAACATTAAGTACCTACCCTGTGTCAGGCAAAGCTGATGGCTGGGGATAGAAAATAAAAAAATAAAAAAATAAAAAAATAAAATATATATAATATATAACATAATATAAATTTATATGAATATATAATATGTAAATATATAAAATATTACGTGTAATATTTTGTTATGTATTAATTATATATGAGGTTTTAATCTATATTTATATATGGTTTTACTATGTATTTATATATGTTTTATATATCTTATAGATAATATCTTATGTAATTATAGATATATAATATATAAATATATAGATACATAATATAGTAGATAATATAATTATAGATATATAATACATATAATATATAATATATAATATGTGTATTTTGTGCCTGTGTGTACATATATATGTGTGTGTATAAATGGATATAAGAATGAAATAGTATCTGCCACCCCCCCATCCCCAGGACCTTCACCTCAGCTTCTGAACTCTTGCTCTGTCCTCCCAGTGCGGCCACCTCAGGGAGATCTTCTCTGTTTTCTTGGCTCCCTGGCTGGTGCTCCATCTCAGCCTTCTAACTTTACCTTCAGCTGTAGCCTCCCTGCTCAGTCCCACCACACCCCTCAGGGAACAGAAAACCAAGCTAGATGGAAACCAGGAAGGAGAGAAAGAGCTGGAGATACAAACAAAGCATCATCTCGTGATGAGCAGACTGCCCGGAAGGGAGGCCGATGGCCAGCCAGAGACACTAACAGATAGATGCCCTAGCGGGCCTTCTCCAATTTGGGGTTAATTGAGAGTAACCTAGAAGCTGTTTTCTGTCAAAGCTAGTGTGGCCTTCTCTCTGGGCTCCTGCAGTTGGGGAGGGTCTGTCCACTCTGTGAGCCTGTACCTTGCCTCTTCATGGGAAGGAAGGCTGTCCTTGCATGTGCAGGGAGGAGGTTTTGAGGCATGACTTGGGGCCAGAGTATGTATGTGGGTGGAGGGAGGAGGTCAGGAGATAGATCGATCTGGAGGGTTGGAGCCCGGGAGGTCAGCAACCTTGTTGGGTTCACTATGTGCCTCCTGGGGGCTGAGGCAGACAGGGCAGAGAGTGAGCAGTGGATGGAGGTGGGACGTCACCTGGCTGCTGGGGGGGAGGGGGTGGCGGGGCGGGGGTTGGGGGGGTGGCACTAGGCTGGTCCCGAAGAGCCTCTTCCCTTCTGACCCTTGCTCCCCTTATCCCCTGGGGCATCTGCCTGTTGGCCTCACACATCTGGCCACATCTGGGGAGGGAAGAGCCTCTCCCCTCCCCCCACCACGAGCCTTTTCTCATGTCCATTCTCTGACCTTTGCCTTCTCACAGTGTTGGTCCTTGTCTTCCTAGGGCAACCATAGATGAGGTGGAAACAGATGTGGTGGAGATAGAGGCGAAACTGGACAAGGTGAGAGACCTCCCCTATCTCCCATCCCTTCCCATGGCTGCAGGAGAGGAGCCCATGTGGATGGGGGGGGGCTCTGTCTCCAACGCCGGGGAATAGGGATTGGGCATGGAGCTGGAAGAGGGAGTTGGGAATTGGGTCCTGCCTGTGACTTGAGTAGATGAGGGAGGGGAGGGGGGAATGCTGGGGGACAAGGTATGGCTATGTGAACCTGGGAGGGACCCCTTCAACTTCCCCCCTCAGGGAAGGGGTCCTGTTCACCTTAGTCTTTGTGGGGAGAATTCTGGCACCCAACATGTGCATGAGGGAGGGAAGTGCATGAGTGTGCTCTTGCCTGTGCGTGAGTAGCCTGGGCTGCTGTGACCATGTGTCATGATTCTCTCCAGGCCCCCATGCTGAGCAGCAGCTGGTATATCTCACAGCTTCCTGCCTTGGTCAGACTTGGGAGGGGGGGAGGGTAAGGGAAAGATGGGAAAGGGAGAAGAAACGTACAGGATGAAGAGTAAGCCCAGAAAGTCAGGAGCTAGCTTGGGGTGGTAGCTGGAGTTCTGGCCTTAGATGCAGGAAGACCTGAGTTCAAATTGTGTGTCTGCTACTTAGTAGCTTTGTGACTCTGGGCAGGTTACTTAATTTTCACGTGTCTCAGTTTCCTCATTTGTAAAATGAGGGTATTGGACTCTAAGGCACCTGGGAGGTACCTCTTATGAAGAAGAGTCCTGGCAAACAGCCTGGGGGTGTTTGAGGTCAAGGGGATGCTTTCCAGAGGGGGCAGGGTAGAGCTGATTGTCTCCATGGGACACCCAAAAGCTGTCCAGTTACTGTTGGCTGTCCTTAAACTCCGTTTCTTTGCTATTGACATTTGGGTCCTGGGTGTCCAGTTCTGTTTGCTCTGCCGAGGGTTTGTAAAGCTCTCGGGCTCCTGGTCTGACCCTGGTGGGCTCCTCTGCCTAGTGTGATAGGATCTTCAGTCCTATCCAGGACTGGCCTCGGAGGCTGGGCTTTCCCAGGCACCCTCCCAGGGGCCCTGGCTGAGAATGGGCCTTGCCTAACTGCCTCCACTGGGCTTCGGTCATCCTGTACCGATGTTGGAGTCACTTCCCTTGCCTTCCTAGAGATCTCTCTGGCTCCTGGCCCTGAGAGTCCTGACCTCGCCTCCACCCTTTTCTGTCTGGATGGCTTTGTCTGAAATGTGTCCCCAGTATCGGCTGGCTTGGAGGCTTCCACCTTTCTCAAAAGCTCAGTTTCTTGACCGATGGTTTTAGAGGGAGGTCAGGAGGGAAGACGCTGGATCAGTGCCCAGGGAGAGGAGAGGAAGAACTCCGAGATGGGGGGGGAGGGGACGGGCACAGAGGCTTCCTACCTGCACCCCTCGCCTGCTCCCACTTGGCATGTCCCTGGTGTCTATGCCGGAAAAGGAGAGGCACTGTCTGTGTCCCTCTGCCAAACCCCCTCCTGCCCGGCTTAGATGGTGAGCACCATTGCAGGGCTTCAGACCTGAGTTACAGTGCTTCTGGTTCTGCTAGAGCTGAGGATCTAAGTTTAAATCCCCTATCTGCTAATTACCCACGTCACCTTGGACAAATTACGTGATAATAATAATGTGCACTTGTTTCGGTCATGTCTTACTCTTCGTGACCCCATTTCTCAGCAAAGATACCAGAATGGTTTGCCATTTCCTTCTCCATTTCACTTTAAAAATGAGGAAACTGGGACAGTGAGGTGGCTCAGAGCACCAGCCCTGAAGTCAGGAGGACTTGAGTTCAAATCTGGCCTCAGACACTTGACACTTACTAGCTGTGTGACCTTGGGCAAGTCACTTAACCCCAATTGCCTTAAAAAAAATGGGTCTTGAGCCAGATGGCCTGAGGTGCCTTCCAGCTTTGGAGTTATGATTCTGTGATGTTGGGCAGTAAAATAAGGGGGTTGGGCTGGATGGCCTTGGTCTGGAACCCTGTGCTTCTTTGGCCAGGGAGGGAACCACTGGGGCCTGAGGGTGTCCATCCCAGGTGGGGCCGTCCTCCACTCCTGGGGAGACCAGCAGGGAGCAGACGTCTCACTCTGCGCTCTGTGCCTCCCCCTTTGTCCCGTGCAGCTGGTCAAACTCTGTAGTGGGATGATCGAGGCTGGCAAAGTCTACATCACCACCAACAAACACTTTGTCAGCGGGGTCCGGGACCTGTCCCAGCAGTGCCGCAACGATGAGGTGGTCTCGGTAAGGGGGGTTGACGTGAGGGTGGGCCGGGGCAGGGGGCACAGAAGCCTACTCCCAGAGTAGGCCACCAGCCAGGCCTGTTGGCAGAGAATTGGGGTGGGGATGGGAAGGTGGTGTCCACAGCTCTAGAGTAGAAGAGAGGGTCTTCCTGCCCTTGGGGGTAGATGCTTGGTTTGGTAGGATCAGCCTCAACCACAAAGGCTCGCAGAGAAACCTTCAGAGAAGAGATTCACAGACCCCTAATTGGTGGACTCTCTGTGCCCGGGAAGGTTTCGGGAATATCACAACTTGCGAAGGACCTGGTGGTGCCCACTGCCACTGGCATGATGTGGGAGCAGACGGAAAGAGGCAGCCCCGTAGCCCAGATTGCCTGGTTTCTCGCGCCCCTTCTGGCGCTTCCTGGCTGTGGGACCCTGGGCAAAGGACTTGGTTTCTCAGTGCTATGGTTGTGTCATTCGGTCTTGTCTGACTGTGACCCCGTGGACCATAACAAGCCAAGCCCTGCCATCTCCCAAAGTCTGTCCAAGCTCATGTTCCTTAAGCAGCTGTCGAAGGCTGGAGGTGGGGCCAGTCTTCATTGGCAGAGGGTATTTCCTCACTTGGGAGTTGCCTGGACCAGTGAAATCACAGGTCTGATCTCTGACATCCCTAATAAGATGCTGCCCCAAAGATGTCCCAGGGAGGCTCCCAGTGATCCTCCTGAAAAGTCTCAGTACTTTTATTCAATTACAAAAGGCAATCATTTTACCCACCTGTGCCACTTGCAAAATGTTAAACATGAAAGAATAGTAGCACGATAGTAATTTGTCCCAAGACTATTTCTATCTGGATTCTATTACATGAAAGGAAGGAGAGGAGGAGGAGGAGATGAATGGGATTAACAGTAATAGTGACTTGTCCTGGGATTGTTTCTAGTTGAACTCCATCAAACAGAAAGATAGAACTCAATTGCCATAATAATTATCTGGGTTATTTTGGTTCACACTTGTGAATTTTCCTGGGTAAGGGACCTCTTTTCCTGGGGTGGGAGTGTGGATCAGCCATACAGAATGGCCGCCCCTTTATATGGTCTTAGAGAATTGTTTGGATGTGCTGAAAGGTTAAGTGATGAAATAATGAACAACTTTAGCCAAATTGCAGGATATAAGCTAAACCCATATAAATTACCAGCATTTCTTTATATGACCAACAAAGCCCAGCAGTTAGAGATAGAAAGAGAAATTCCATTTAAAATAACTGTAAACAATATAAAAACTATATGGATACAATTATACTTTTCATATTCATAAAGTCAGATCTAAATAACTAGAAAATATCAATTGTTCATGGATAGGCTGAGCCAATATAATAAAAATGACAATTCTGGAAAGATTAAATGAGCTGCCTAGGGTTCCACAGCCAGTATGTGACTTGGACCCAGGCTTGATTCCAAGGCTGGCCCTCTAGTAGTAATGGTGTCCCCAGCCCACCTTTCTATCTGCTGGCCTTAGTCTGATTGGTTTGGGGGACTTAGGGGTGGGATTGGGGTCCATTAAGTTGGGGGCAATGTTAATCAAACACTGGTGTCAAGAGGACACTACCAAGGGTATGGGTGGTGTGGTGGGTGGGTGGGGTCTCCACATAGCCAGACTTAGCCCAGTGCCTTAGTGAGAGTCCCAGTCAAACTAGGAAGAAGTAGAAATAGGTCAGGAGCCATAGGAGGCTGGGAGAGGAAGAGATTGAAGAGTGGCTATGGAGCCACCTACTCCTGGATTCCAGAGTCTCATCAGCAGGGATGCAAAGAGGGAGTGTCTGGGAGTTGCTGTGATCCAGTGTGTCTGTGGGATTTCTGTGAAAATTCCTTCTGAGCCTGGGGTGGAAGTGTGGATCAGCCAAAGGATGGGACCAGAGCTAAGTGTGGGGAGGGCGAGGGAATCAAGGGTTCTCTAGACATTGCCCTCACCTCATCCTGTCTCCCTCCTGTCTTCCCCCCAGGAATGTCTACAGAAGTTTGGAGATAGCCTTCAGGAAATGATCAACTACCACATGGTAAGAACAGCTCCCTCCTCCCATTCCTGCAGTGCTGGGACAGGGGGCTCAGAGCTAGTTAGATAGTCTCAACGCTTGGCTCTGTGGCTTCATCAGCATCTCATTTGCATGTCAGGCGAAGTCCTCATAGACTCCTCCCCCAACTCGAGACTCGTTGGGCTTGGAATATTTGGGGAGTAGGGTTTTGCTGGGCTGTGCCCAGGGAAGTTCTTGTATGAGGAAGGACAGGGAATTCGGGCCCTGTGAGTGGTTCAGGCCTGTCTCTGAGTCATTGGGAGGGAGCTGGAGACACCTTCCCACCCCAACAGCCTCCCTTAGGGCCATAGGGTATGTCTTGGGGAAGCCCAGGATGGGGTGGGGGGGGACACTGTGGATCTGTCCCTTGGGGCAGGAGGGACTCTGGTCTGAGCTCCAGGACACTGGCTGGGGATGTCTGACTTAGGAGCCAAGAGTCTGGCTGGGCCCCGGTCCAGCGTGAGGGGGAGGGGGGAGAGGAGAGGATGTAATCGGAGCTGTGGGTGTGGGAGGGGGAAGAGGAGCCCCAGAAATAGCCAGATAGGCTCTGGAAGAGACAAGGCACTGGGCAGGCATCAGAGGAAGGAGAATCGGGGTGCCTCAGCCTTTCATATTTGGGGTAGCCCACAAGTTTAAGCATTTTCCTTGTCATTTGGGGTGTGAGACAGGAGTGAGTCAGAGATCTCCTCAGGCAGGGCTAGGGCTGGGGCTGATCTGGTTGGAAGCAGGGAGATGGATGTGATGACCTTTGGCCTCAATGGCTACTAGGAGGTCTATTGGGACTTGGAGGCAGAATATGCCCCTTATTCTACCCTGTACCCCAATCTGGGGAGATTGCTCCTCTGGGCATAGGAGGAAGTGGCTTCTTAAAGATTTCTCCTGCCAGATGTTGCAAACATCTGTCCAGACAGAGGGAAACGGGCCAAGGCTAAGCTTCCGGCCTGGACTTCTTTAGGAGGAGGGGTGGGGGGCAGGAAGGCTGTACTCCCAGTTTTTTTTTCAGTATCCCTAGCACTTAGCACAGTGCCTGGCACACAGTAGGTGATTGTTGGCCAGTAGACTGACTGGCTGCAGGTCCCCTGGGCTGTTTAGGGAATATGTGGGTGAGCACCAGGGCTTGGGGATAGACGGGTTCTCTCCTGCCCTGTCCCCAGCATTCACAAACTGACACGCATTGACTTGGACCCCAAGAACCTCACTACCACAGAGGTGCATGAAGGTCCCACGTGAATAAATAGACGTCCACGCTCTGGGTGGTCGGGCCTGGGAGCCTGAGCCCCAGACTAAACAACCCCACCCCCCCTTCCCCACCCACCCAGCAGGGGAAGTTCAGAAATAAACACTCCCAGAGCTACAAGACAGTGATGGGACTGCCCCCATGTCCAGCGTGAAGCAGAGGTCCTCCCTCCTGTCCTGTCCCTTCCCAGCACCTGCCCCTTAGCCAGGGGCTAGCCCTTCCCCGACTCCTGATTACCTCCTCGGGTGGGAGAGGGCAGTGTTTTTCAACTTTCCCAGGAGGCAGCCTGGTACAGGGGGAAAAGAATGATGGGTCCTAGCACCTGAGTTCGAATTCCTCACTCTGTTGCTTCCTAGCTGTGTGACTTTGGGCGGGGCGCCTAACCTCTCTGGGCCTCAGTCTCCTCATCTGTAAAATGATGAGGTTAGACCAGATGGTGTCTAGGGTCCATCCCAGCTCTTTTTCTAGGGTCCCAAATCCCCTGCCCTAATGGGAGCACCTTGTCCTACATTGCTGTTGGGGGTCCTAAGGGTGGGGGTGGATCGTGTGGCTATTTGTGTGCACCTGGGAGGGAGCTGGACGGAGGCAGCTGTGGACGCCTGTGGGCTGTGAGCCTTGGCTGGTGGGAGGCGGGTGCTGAGACACAGCTGCTCACGTCCACTGGGTAACACTGATCTCCCAACCCTGTCTCCCTTATCCTCCCCCCCTCCCCTCCATGTGAGTCCATGTAGGGGTTCTAATGAGCAGAGGCTTAATGGGATGGTGAGTTACCCGGGAAGCCCTTGACACCCCCAAACAGAGAGAAAAAACAGACCCTCTTGCCCCAAAGCCGGGCAAACATCTGGGCAGCCCTGAGCAGCAGCGCCATCTGCTGGCCGTGCAGGGAAGCCCTTGTGTAGATGCGGGAGGCTGTAGGGCTTCTGACCAATGGGGCAGGTTCTTTGTCTAGGGAGGGAAGACTGCATCGGGGGTTCTTCCCTAGAGGAAAGAGCGGTCCTGGCTTGAGCGCTGGACCCTAAGCCCAGTGTCTAAGCTGGTGGGGGAGAGGGAGGGAAGGAAGGTCAGGAGACAGTTGGCCTTGGGAATGAGAACCTAGATTTGGGGAGAAATCCCTCCCTGTCCCCCTAGATGTTTCAGGAGCAGAAGGCAAAGACTCCCCTTCCCAGGTCTTCCCCAAATCCCTCCCTTTTGGATGTTTCTAGATCCTGTTTGACCAGGCCCAGAGGTCAGTGCGGCAGCAACTCCACAATTTTGTCAAAGAGTGAGTATGGCTCAGCCTTCCCCCAGAGGTGCTCCCCCTCCCCTTCCCAGCTCCCCCCACCCAAAGGCACTCTCTCCCCTCATCCCACCCTCCTCCACCCAAGGGCGCTCCCCCTCCCCTTCCCAGCTCCCCCCACCCAAAGGCACTCCCTCCCCTCATCCCACCCTCCTCCACCCAAGGGTGCTCCCCCTCCCCTTCCCAGCTCCCTCCACCCAAAGGCACTCTCTCCCCTCATCCCACCCTCCTCCACCCAAGGGTACTCCCCGTCCCCTTCCCAACTCCCCCTCCCCCACCCAAACATGCTCCCCCTTCCCTTCCCAGCTCCCCCCTTTCCCCCTTATCTCCCACCCAAGCATACACAAGGAAGACCCAGATGCCTTTATTCTGGGTGAAAGGGGTGAACTGGAAAGATGCATCAGAAGATCTCTCTTGGTCGGCTCGGACGCTGCCTGCTGGGTGATCTTGGACAGGTCACTTTCTATTCACGGGAGTCAGCTCAGAGCTAGAAGGGGCCTTAGTGGTTGTCTCTGTGAAAGTGAGACATGAAATGTTTTGCTTGAGGCCACGCGATCGTCTTCTGGGGCTCTCTCCTCTCTTGGGCTTCTTCACTTCTCTCTCATACTACCTGTGGCTCTTGGTGACCTCATCCTCATGGGTTCAGTGATTGCCTCTGTGCTAATGACTCCCAAACTCTCTAACCAGCCCTGGTCTTTTCCCCAAGCTCCCTTCCCATCTCACCAGCTCCTCACTGGGCATTGTCCATAAGATGTGCCAGGGGCTCCTTTCTCAGACTGAGGACTGCTTAGCTTCTCCCCAAGCCCTTCCCTCTTCTGAACCTCCAGCACCATCCTTGGCCATCCCGGGCACCCAACTTGGCAACCTCGGAGTCATTCTTGACTTTCTTCTCCCTCGTTCCTTGTGTCCAGAGAGTGGCCAAGGTATCTCCACTCACACAGGGAACCTGCCTAGGTTAGGGGCTCATCAGCTCTTCATTGGACTGTTGCCACGGCCTCCTCATCGGTCCCCTTGCTTCCAGGCTCTCCCTTCTCCAAGTCATTTTCCCCATAGATCACAAGTTGGTATTCCTTAAGCACAGGGCTGACCATGCTATTCTCCTACTCAAGAATCCTTAGGGGCAGGGGGAACCTAGGTGGCGCAATGGATAGAGCACTGGCCCTGGATTCAGGAGGACCTGAGTTCAAATCCAGCCTCGGACACATAACACTAGCTGTGTGACCCTGGGCAAGTCACGTAACCAAAAACCCCAAAACAAACAAAGAACCCTTAGGAGCTCCCTGTTGCCTCTAGTAAAAATGAGCTGGAGAAGGAAATGGTGAACCACTCCAGTATCTTTACCAAGAAAACCCCGAATGGAGTCACAGAGAGTTGGACACAACTGAAAATGACCAAGTAACACACATACACATACATAAATATATATTACATACAGTAGAAGATCTGTATTAGATAAACTTAGAAAGGGAAGCTTGAAATCAGTCTATGAAGGGCTTACAAAGTCAAACAGAGGACATATAAAACATACATAATACATGCATGTATGAATACATATACACACACAGAAAGATCTATCTTAGCTCATGCATAAAATCTCTCTTCAATCTTCTAGTATGTATATGTATATGTATATGTATATGTATATGTATATGTATATGTATATGTATATGTATATGTATATGTATGTGTTTGCACTTAGGTATACACTGAGTGTGCATGTGTGTATATATTTGTGTATATGTATATTTGCAGATCTATTCTGTGAATGTAGCTGTTGGCATGTATGTTTGCTGATATGCAATACAGAGTACATGCATGTGTGCATGTATGTACACGTGTTTGTGTGTATACCATGTGCATGAGTGTGTTTGTAGATATATACTGTGTATGCGCATGCATGTTTGCCTATATGTATACACTGTGTATGCCATGTGCATGTGTGTACAGTGTCCATATATGTTTCTGTATGTTTTTGTGTATGTCTGTATGTCTCTGTATGTCTCTTGTTTGTTTAGCTCTTGGAATAACCAAATGCCAGGCTCTAAGCCTTCCTTTCTGCATTTCTGGCCCAGGACTTTCCTTTATGCCCTCTCTGCTACCTCCCGCTAACCTGACCTCCAGGCTGTCCCCTCACCCTGTGCCTTAATGCAGGGTCTGCCGTGCCTGGAATGCGATCTCTCTCCTCCACTGTGCCTCTTAGAATCCCAAGGCTTTCTTCCAGGATCAACTCAAGTACTTCCTTCTATGTGAAGATTTCCTGAGCCCTCCATCCCCAGCTGCTAGTGGGAAATTAGGGTGTATATATTTTGTATTTAGTTTTCTGTCTATCTGTTGTTCCCCTCGTTAGAATATAAGCTCCCTGAGGGGCAGGCACTGTTTTGTGTATACTCAGCACCTAACAGTAGTAGGGGCCCAATAAATGCTGCATGAATCAATGAATGATGACTGAGTTAGGAGTCAAACCCAACTCAGGACTTCACGTCCATCTTTTTCCCTCCATCGTACCACATCATCTCTAATTCAGCAAGCATTTATTTAATGTCTCTTACATGCTGGACTCTGGGGATGCAGACACAAGAGAAGTATCTCTACTCTCTAAGAGTTTGTAGTCTACTTTAGGTAAGGTAGTGGAGAGAATTTTGCACTTGGAGTCAGGAAGACTTGAACTAGAATCCTGTTGCAGGTACTTGCTAGCTGTGTGTCCTTCGGCAAGATAATTAACCTCTCTGATCCTCAGTTTCTTTAAAATGAATGCGCCTGGGCTAGGTGACCTATAAGGTCCTTTCCAGCTCTTAATCACTGATCCTTTGAATACAGCACATATGGTACTTCAGTTTCCCTGTCTGCAAAATGGGGCTAATCAGGCTTATATTCACTACTTTACAGGGTTGTTGTGAGAAAAGCATTTTGTAAAGATGCTGCAGAAATGGAATAACTTGCCCTTCAAGGCTTTCTATGATGTAGACCCACTTTGTTCATCTAGCCTCATCCTTTCAGCTCTCTCTCTCTCTCTTTCTCTTTCTCTCTCTCTCTCTCTCTCTCTCTCTCTCTCTCTCTCTCTCCCTCCCTCCCTCCTCCTCCCTCCCTCCTTCCTTCCTTCCTTCCTTCCTTCCTTCCTTCCTTCCTTCCTTCCTTCCTTCCTTCCTTCCTCCTTTCTTCCTCCTTATTTTCTTCCTTCCTCCTTTCTTCCTTCCTCCCTCCTTTCCTTTCTTCCTCCCTCCCTCCCTCCTTCCTTCCTTCCTCCTTTCTTCCTCCCTCCTTTCCTTTCTTCCTCCCTCCTTTCCTTTCTTCCTCCCTCCCTCCTTCCTTCCTTCCTTCCTTCCTTCCTTCCTTCCTTCCTTCCTTCCTTCCTTTCTTCCTTCTTTCCTTTCTTCCTTCTCCTTTCCTTCCTTCCTTCCTTCCTTCCTTCCTTCCTTCCTTCCTTCCTTCCTTCCTTCCTTCCTTCCTTCCTTCCTTCCTTCCTTCCTTCCTTCCTTTCTTCCTCCCTTCTTTCCTTCCTTCCTCCCTCCCTTCCTTCTTTCCTTCCTTCCTCCCTCCTGTCCTCCCTCCCACCCCTCCCTACACATTGAGGAAAGTGATATGATATCACTCATACATGTGAAGTCATGCAAAACGTATTTTCCATGTTACTGGTTTGCTTCCTTGCACACTTGTTCCATCCTGGCAGAGAGCAGGCTCATTTCAGCTAATAGCCCTTTGCTCATGAGGCTTTTTCAACTTGGGATCAGATCCCTGCCCCATCCCCTCCCAGAGTCAGTATGGCTGGGACATCCCCTTCCCAATGAGGAGGGGGAGTTCTGACCATTCTCTGGATGGGAAAAACAGAGGCCCCAAGGTCAATGCCTATCAGGAGCCCACACAGTGAGTCTTAGGGGTCTGAGACCTTATCCTCTGCCCTGACTCCTCCTCTCTCCCTGACTGACCTCTCCTTCCCGCTCTCCACAGTGACGTTAGGAAATTCAAAGAAACAAAGAAACAATTTGACAAGGTCCGAGAGGACATGGAGATGTCTCTGGTGAAGAATGCGCAGGCCCCGCGGCACCGGCCACATGAGGTTGAGGAGGCCACCGGAGCATTGACTCTCACCCGTAAATGCTTCCGCCACTTGGCTCTGGATTATGTACTCCAGGTCGGTGAGGGGGCCCTGGCATAGGGGGAAGGGTGGGGACTGGCAGCCTCGTTCAGCTTCCTCGAGTTGGGGCCAGCCCTGGCACGGCACAATGCTAGATGTGAGTGGATAAGCTGGCATAGTTAGGGGAAGGGGCTCTGGAGTAGGAGGCAGGCAGAATACCTGGGTACTCATTCAGCTTCTGCTGCTCAGCTTCCTTTTCCCTCTAGGTAGGGGCCCCTTCAAGCTCTGACATTCCAGGATTCACAGTATTTTTGGAGCAACTGTGCTGGAGGAGGGAGGGGGAGAAGCCTAGAGTATTAGAGCTGGAAGGTCCCTGAGAAGTTAAGTCCAGCCCCCTCACTTCATGGATGATTCACCCAGAAAGTTAAGACAGTGAGATGATATGAGAGCTGGCAGAGGTCCCTGAGTGATCAGGGTCAAAAGAGAGTTTTGTCAGTCATTGCTGAAGGAGCTCAGAGCTGGGAGAGATCCTTGGGGTCTGGGTTGATCTCAGAAGAATTCTTGGATGTGGAATTTGTTGACAAGGAATATTTGGAGAAGGGGAGAAAGGAAGGAAGGAAAGAAGGCTGTCTTAGGTGGAGGGGAGCACATATTCACCGGATTTTTGGAGTTTTGAAAGAATTCCAAGAGGCAGAAGTGAGGGGGCAGTACATTCCAAGGATGGGGGTGGGTGGGTGGGAAAAAGCCTACATACAGATGGGAGATGGATATATGTAGGAATGAGAAGACGGCCAGTTTAGTTGGACAGTAAAATATATGAAGTATACTGATATACAGTAAGACAAGATAGGTAGGTTAGAGCCAGGTTATGACTGGCTTTAAATACCAAACAGACGTGTTTGTATTTGACCCAAGAGGTGATAGGAAGCAACCGGAGGTTGTGGATTAGGGAGTGACGTGGTCAGATCTGTGCTTTAGGAATATTGTTTTGTTGTTTGTATGGAGGATGGTTTGGAGAGGGGAGACATTTAGGCAGGAAGGTTATTGCGGTGGATTTAATAGAGAGGTGATGAGGACTTGGGCTAGGGTAACGGAGGTGTGATCAGAGAAAAGGAGATGGAGACAAGAGAAGATTCAGAACAATCAATATGGTGGATGGGGTAGAGAGTCAATTTGTTTTTTGACTAGACCTTTGATTTCATCAGTGCAGGGAGCTTTCATGGTAGAGCTTTCCCTTTTAATGAAGATTTAGTCAATGAATAAACACTTAGTAAATGCCTACTGTGTGCCAGGCACTGTGCTAAGCGCTAGAGATGCAAAGAACCCTTGTCCTCAAGGCGCTTCAAGTCTAATGAGGGAGGTAAGAGGACACTAGAGGGGGAGGACAAGGTGGATTCCAGGGGAGAGAATCAAGAACTGGCCAAGTGCTGGGTCAAGACTGACCAGGGAGGAAAGGGAGGCAAAGCAGAAATCAGGACGCAGGAAAAGCCTGAGAGATGGAGGGACTGGAAGTCCCAGTGAGAATGAAAAAGAGAACACAGACAAGATCTGCTTCCCCACACAGTTCTGTGGAGAACTATGGTTGTGCAACCAGGCACATACTGATGTACCAGGCAGTTTTGCTGAACTGATTTTTTTGTTTTGTCTTTTTACTTTTTGTTACAAGGGATGTCTCTCTGGGGAGGGCAAGGGAGAGGGAGAGAAATGTATTTGGAAATAAGGTGATGAAAAAACACAAATCTTTTTTTAAAAAAAATATATAAGCAAAGACCCAGAAGTAGAAATGAGTCAGGCATGTGCCAGCTAGCGCTGGGCCTGAAGTCAGAAAGACCCGAGTTCAAATCTAGCCTCAGACATTTACTAGCTATGTGACCCTGGGCAAGTCATTTAACTTCTGTCAGCCTCTTTTTCATCATCTGTAAAATAGGGATAATAATAGCACCTACCTTCCAGCATTTTTGTGAAGATCAAATATGCTAATGTTTGTTAAGTGCATGGCACATAATAGGCACTATATAATTGATATTATTATTATTATTATTATATTATTATTATTATTATTATTTATTATTATTATTAACTGGTTAGAGTAGAGTATGGAGGCAGCTAGATGGCTCAGCTCAGTGATAGAGAGCCAGGCCTGGAGTCAGGAAGACCTGAGTTCAACTTTGGCCTCAGACACTTAACTAGCTGTGTGACCCTGGGCAAGCCAGTTAACATCTGTTTGACTTACTGCACTGGAGGAAGAAATGGCAAAGCACTCCAGTATCTTTGTCCAGAAAACCCCATGGACAGTTCACAGGGGCATGAAGTGTTGTACATTCCTTAACGACTATACAACAAAGTATGGAGTATCCTTGGAAAGGAGGAGGCTGGATGGACGGGGGCAAGAGGTGGGGAGTGGTGCAGGGGACAGATGAGGAAGGGTCGGGAGTAGCAGGCTAGGGCTAGAGGGACTGAAGGGGATTCTGGAGGCCATGAAGAGCCCTTTTTTGTTGTCAGGCTGGGTTGGGACTCAATGAAGGTGGGCAATGCCAGCGGCAGCCCCGGGGGCCAGTGAAGAGTGATCAGTGTTTGAGCTGGGAGCTGGCCTGGTTCAGTGCCTTTCTTCCTGTGGCCTCCATAGCCTCCTTGGCCCTGGGGCCTTCCTCTGTGCTGATGTATTCTCTTCTTTTTTCTCTGTCCGTCTGTCAGATCAACGTCCTTCAGGCCAAGAAGAAGTTTGAGATATTAGACGCGGTGAGAGCTCATCTTGTCTCTTCCATCCCCCATTCCGTCCTACTCCCTTCCCAAAATGCTCCATTCTGTGTATGTGTATGTGTATGTTGTGGGGAGGCCGCGTGTCGTACCTATGTGTAAGACATGTGTACCACCTCGGACCTGTGCTCACCCTGGTTGGGTGCGTGCTACGCCCCCACACGCTGATATATGGCTTAGGCACATGGAAGCCCTTGCTCCTGGCCCCATGTGCTGGGTGGGCCCAGGTGAATTGAGGCACATGCTCAGGACTGTGTGCGCCTGGTATGTATGTAGGCATGGGGGCCTGTCAAAGCAGGTGCTCCCATGTGGCACCTCAGGGGGCGGTCAGGAGGTGCCTCCAGACTTAGGTGTGCGCTCTGGGTATTGGCTGAACATCCCCGCCATTCATCCCACAGATGCTGTCCTTTATGCACGCGCAGTATGCCTTCTTCCAGCAGGGTTACAGCCTCTTACACCAGCTGGACCCCTACATGAAGAAGCTGGCCGCAGAGGTGAGGCTGGGGCTGTGGTCCAGCCAGACTGGGGGAGGAGAGGCTGGGAGTTGGGGCAGACATGGCTGGAGCTCCCTCCCCGTCTGTCTCCCTGGGACCCTGGCATTGTGGCCAGGCTCGGAGTAGACACTTTATCACAACTTTGTTGAGTGAATGAACAAATGAATGAATGAAAGCAGACCTTTAGGACAGCCTCTGATGTGACACAGAACTTTCTTCTCTGTGCTTCAATAGCTGGACCAGCTAGTGATCGACTCCGCGGTGGAGAAGCGGGAGATGGAGAGGAAACATGCCCTGATCCAACAGAAGGTAAGGAGGAGAAGGGGGGCATTTCCATAGTGTATATTATATACCAGGCACTGTGGAGGCAGGTCCAGGACGGCCAGGTGTCCCTGATGTCTCCGTCCTCCTGTCAAAGGGCCATCCCAGGCATTCTCTCATTGGACAATGCCCACAGCCTTGTTAAAGTGGGCAGGGCAGATATCACGGTCCCTTTCTACATTAACTCAGTGGCAGAGGAAATATCGTGACTGTGAGGGAATACCGGCTTCCTGGTCTCTCTGAGCAGCCCTTTTCCCTTCCACTCTCAGGGTGCAAGGCCTTGTAGGTCAATCCTTCAGCTCAATCTTTTATTTTTCTAAACATTTTATTGATGCCAATTATTTTTACCCCAAAGTAATTTATTGGTATAGCTCACGCCTTCCAACCAATTGAACTCTCCTTTGTAACAACAACAAGAAAAAGTTAAGTAGAACCAATGGACTCATGGGGAGGTAGGACAATGGTAAGAAGGCTATATTTGAAGGCAGTTTGAATCCCACTCTGTTTTGTGCTTCCTGTGTGACCTTAAGCTAGTCATTTCCTCCCTGAGCTTCAGCTCCTTACATGCAAAGGAACTGGCCTGGACAACTCCCGAGATCCCTTCCAGCTATGACGCAGCACTTCTGACAGCACAGAATGCATTGTTCCCCCCATAGTTCCCCATTTCTCTACTAGAAGAAGGCAGTTGTGTTCTGTGATATATTCTGCAGGGTCAAGATGGGCCATTGCCTACGTCAAGGTTTAGCTGCCTTTGAGTATTATTTTTATGTACATTCTTGTGGTCATTGTGTATATTATTCTCCAGGTTCTGCTGTCTTCATTTTGCGTCAGTTCATATACGTCTTCCTGTGGTTTTCTAGGTGCTTCATGGTGGTTGTTTCTTATGGCATGGTAATTCTCTTCCATTCATATGCTGCAGTTTGTCTAGTGTTACCACAAAAAGGGCTGCTGTGAATATTTTGGTCTATGTGGGGCCTTTATGTCTGTCATTGACCTTGAACATATGTATGGGATCTCTTGGTCAAAGGGCATGGACTGCTTAGTGACTTTTTTTTGCTTAATTCCTAACAGCTTTCCAGAATGGTTCGGCGTGCCCATCTTCCCCCAGTCCCTCCTATCACTGATCATCTTTGCCACTTTTCTGAGTGTGAGGTGGATCCTCTGTCCTGTCCATCCTCACTGCCTGCCCTTCTGCTCACTGGCAGGCCAGGCTTTCTGTCCCAACTTCTCTGACCCTTGGAGAAGCAGGGGTCTCCTTCTCTGAGCCCCAGCTCTCCTCTGGGCTTCAGGTAGAAGCTGGCTCTCTCATCCTAAACCCTGATTTGGCAGTATCCTTGGTCTCTGTCCATGGAAGGTCCCTGGACCAAATTCTCCCTTTTGTGACATGTGACCTAGGGTTGGTTGTCCTTCATTCTCAGAGAACCAAAATGACATCACTGCCAGAGTCAAGTTACAATGAGTCCGGCTGTGGCTGATGAGACCGATATGAGCTCGGAAGGTTCTGCCACGGGTCGGACACAAACAGCCCACGTGAACATTGGAGTGGATTCTCTAAATTTGTGTGTCTTACATTTCTTTGAGCCAGTGCAATTCTTCTTTGCTCATAGAGCGCAGTGCCTTCTTTGACACGCCTTGCTGGGCTGTTCTGTGCCAGTGTCTCCCACGTCACACAATCGATTCCAAAGTTCTTCAGAGAGACCTTGAGAGTGTCCTTGTATGGCTTTTTCTGACCGCCATGTGAGCACTTGCTCAATCCTCAGCTTGACTTGGGTGATGTTCGATCTTCCTGCTCTCCTGGTCTCAGTGATTCAGAGCTGACATCCCCTGGGGGTTAAAGCCCCCCTCTCTAGCTACCTGTCCCTGTATTGTCGTCCTCATTTGCCTCAGCTAGCCCTTCCCAGGCCCTTTTATCTTCTGACTTCCTTTTCTGTTGTGCCCTCTGGAGTTCCTGCTCCATCACTGACAAATGTCCCTTCCATCTCATTTTTCCCCCACTCTTTCGATCTTTTTATGCCCCAGACCCTGGCTGTCCAGGAGACAGCCTCTCCAGTAGTGCTGGCTTTCCTTTTCCTTACAGCCCTGACACATTGAGCCAGGAGGAGGAGGAGGAGTTGGCATCTCCTCCCAGGCCCTCCCTCTGCCCCATCACTCAGCAACCTCTCCTCCTTCCATCTGTCACCCAGCCCAGTTCTTTGATGCTTATGTTCTGTTGGTCTCCAGAACACTTTCCCTCTCCTCTCTGGGGGCTTTTTTTTTTACCATTATTTTAAAAAAAATCTCATTTCTATCAATATCTTTTGTTTTAAAATCACCTTCATTTTTAAATGCACCCTTTCCTGCTTCCTACTGAACCAGCTCTCTCTTGTAACAAAGAATGAAAAAGGACAGGGTTGGGGAAGGGGGAAGCAGGTCAGCAAAAACAATGAGTACATCAGCTGTCTCTGATTGTACGAGCAATGTCACACACCCATAGTCACCTACCTCTGCAAAGAATCAATCAATCCACAAGTATTTATTAAGCAAATTCTATGTGCCAGGCACTGTGCTGGGCATTCCTGCCCTCAGGGAACATATGTTCTACTGAAGGGGAAACAGTATGCCCATGTATAAATACGTACAGGATATACACAGAATACAGACAAAGTAGTTTGGGGAGGGAGGGAGAGAGGGTCCTAGCAGTGCAGAGGGGATCAAGAGAGGTCTTATGGAGAAAGTCTTGCTTCAGCTGTGTCTTGAGGGAAATCAGGGAATTCTGAAAGACAGTCAAAACAAAGTTATGGAGGAGAAACCATGCAAAGGTATGGGGTGGGAAGTAGATTGTCTCTAAGGAGGGACCCTTCCTCTTTTCTTAAGGAATTCATTACCTTCTTTGAGGACTCCCTCTCTCCAGCTCAGCTCCTGTCCTCATACTTGGGGGACAGCATGACCCACATCCTGCTTCTGATATTTGCCAGGTAGCCTGCATGACTTTGAATAAGTTATGTAACCTCTCTGTGCCTCAGTTTCCTCCCCTGTAAATGAGTAGATTGAACTAGAGAGCCACTGAGGTCCCTTCCAGCCCCAAATCTACATGCTTATGTCCGCTCTAATACCCTGGACTCGCAGTTTCTTGACCTCCTCAACCACAATGACCCACTGCTTCAATCTATATCTGCTACCCAAAGGGATGGTTATATCCTAGACTCACCATCACCTGTAACTGTGTCACTTCCATGGTTTTGAACTCAAAGATCCTCTTCTCTGACCACGCTCTCCTGGCCTTCCATCTCTTCCTCTGTCTAAATCTCCTAAACCCGTTCTTTGTCCTCACTGGAGTCTCCATTCTCTCCATCTGCCTCTGTTCTCTTATTCTATCGCTCCTACTCTGGGCTTTACTTTCCTCTCTAATTAGAATGGACCCCATGGTTGACCAGTTCAACCTATACCCTAGACTCTTTTGGCCCTTGTCTTACTGGTGCTTAACCCCCTGCCAATCCTCAGCATGGCTTCCTTCTGCCATTGGCCTTCTCTGCCACCACTCCTGAGATGGAGGATGGGAAAGGAAATAAACATTTATATAGCACCTACTATATACCCGGGACTGTGCTAAGCTCTTTACAGATATCTCATTGGAGATTCACAACAACCCTGCAAAGTAGATGCTATTATTATTCTGCATTTTATAGTCAAGGAAACTGAGGCAGAGGTTAAATGATGTGCCCAGGGTCACACAGCTAGTAAGTGTCTAAGGTCACATTTGAACTCAGAACTTCCCAATTCCAGGTCCAGTGCTCTGTGCACTATGGCACCACCTAGCTGCCTCTAAAAAGGAAGAAATCCCACAACCATGCTGATAGGTACCCTTACACATTTTTTATTGAACCCCAGATGGGCCCTTGCTATTGCATGGTGAAACTTCTTTACTTATTCCTGGATGACTTTCTGTCCCACTCTACCCATCAGCTGTTCCAAACCTTGTCTTTCTCCTCCTCCCCTCACAGCAGATGTCCTTGCCTCCTACTTTGCTGAGCAAATAGCGGCCCATTTCCTGTGAGCTCCACCTCGCTAACTTCATCTTTCAGAGCTCCATCCTGTTCTTTTCTCCCATCTCTGCTCATTGGAGATGAGAGTAAAGGAGCTTAGATCTTAGGCAGCTAGGGGGTTCAGTGAATTAAGCCCTGGACCTGGAGGCAGAAATCTTGCCTCAGATGCTTCCTGGCTATGGCCCTTGACTTCTACCTGCCTCAGTTTCCTCAATTGTAAAATAATGGTAGCACCTGCCTCCAAGGCTGGTTGTGAGGATAAGATGAAATAATATTTCTAAAGAGCTTAGCACAATGCCTGGTACATAGTAGACACTTAATAAATGCTTGTCTCTTTCCTTCCTTCCTCCCTCCCTCCCTCCCTCCCTCCCTCCCTTCCTTCCTTTCTTCCTTCCTTCCTTCCTTCCTTCCATCTTTCCTTCCTTCCTTCCTTCCTTCCTTCCTTCCTTCCTTCCTTCCTTCCTTCCTTCCTTCCTTCCTTCCTTCCTTCCCTCCTTCCTTCCATCCTGTCACTTTCAGGAATCAGTCTCCACCTCTCCCACATCCTCAATCTCTCCTTCTCTACCAGCTTCTCTCTCATGCTTAGATCAGTCCCCATTTGAACCTGCTATCTCCTCAAATAATGGCCAGATATTTTCCCTCACTTTCTCTGCCACACTTAGAGAAAGGATCTTCTCCCGTTGCTGCCTCTACTGCCAACCCCCTCATTCACTTCTCACTCCCTTGCAATCTGGCTCCCAGGCGCCACCGCTCAACTGACATGGCTTTCTCTAAGATTACCCATCATCTCTTAGCAGCTAAATCCCTCATTACTCGTCCTCTTTTATCTCCCTGCAAGTAATGTGGACCACTCCCTCCTTTAGGTTTCTCTTCTGGTTGTCCTCTTTCCTGTCTGACTGCTCCTTCTCAGTCTCCTTTGGTGGATTATTATCTGTATTTCCCACCTAACTGTGGGAGTCCCCCAAGGTTCTATGCTGGGCACTCTGCCCTCTTTTCGCTCTCTCTCTCTCTCTCTGTCTTTCATCTCCCTCTGTTCCCATTACTTCCACCCTTTCTTTCAGCTCTCTGTCTCTGTCTCTTATCTCTCTATACCTTTGTCTCTCTGTATCGTTTCTCTCTGTCTTTCTGTTTCACTTTCTCTGTTTTTATCTCTCTCTTCCTCCTTTCTCTTACCCTTTCGTCTCTGGATCCGATACGTCTGTGTCTCTGTCTCTCTCTAGCATTTATCTGTTTGTCTCTCTTTCTGTCTTTTTTCTCTCTGTCTCAGTCTCTCAGTCTCTGTCTGTCTCTCTTATCTCATCACCTCCCACAGGTTCTAGTATTAGCCCTTTGTGCACGACTCCCACCCAGCCCTCATCCCTCTCCTGAGCCCCACTCACTCATCACTTGCCTGGAGGCCGTCTCCAGGATGCCCCCTCTAGGCATCTCAAAATCAGCATCTCCAAACCAGAACCCAGCCTCTGCCTTAAACGTATTCCTCCTCCAGACTTTCCTGTTGCCTTTACCCCCAGCACCATTTTTCCAGTCACTCACATCCATAACCTTGGAGTTACCTTTGATGCCTCATTCTCCTTTACCCACCCACTTCCCCATATCCAATCAGCTGCAAAGTCTGCTTGGCTTTGCCTCTGCAAGTCTCTCATCCATGTCCTCTTCCCTTCAATCACACAGCCACCCCCTTAATTCAGGTTCTCATCTCCTCTTGCTTGGACTGTTGTAATAGCTGCCTGATTGGATGCTTCAATTTCAGTCTTTCCAATGCATCTGCCACAACCTGCTAAAATAATCTTCGTGGTCTGACCATGTCACTCCTGTGCTCAAGGACCTTCAATGGCTCCCTGTCACCTCTAAGATAAAATACACAATCGCAGCCTGGCATTTTAGACCTTCACAATCTAGCTTCTACCTTCCTTTCCCATCTTCTTTTACATTACTTCCCTCTGTACAACTTAATTTCCAGCCAAGCCAGACCCCCAAATACAACACAACTGTACAATGCATTGCCCAAAATATTCTCCACACTTGGAATGTTTCCTCCTTATCTTTGCCTTTGCTTTCTCTTCCTCTAAGACTTAATTCAGATCCTGCCTTCTCTACCCCACTTTCATGTTGCTAGTACTCACTCCTTCCTCAATGTCGTTGAACTTGGGCATATGATGTGTGGCCCTCCCCTCCCCACCCCCATTTCCCCAGCAGAATGGAAGCTCCTTGAGGGCAGGGCCTGTTTTATTTTTGTCTCTGTGTCCTCAGCATCTGGACACAGTGCCTGACACGTAGGAAATGCTTAAGAAGCATTTGTTGGCTCTAGTTGAAGCCACAGATGGATTTGGGGAGATGTTTTTGGTTTTGTTTTTCTGTAGATAATTAGGCTTTGCCAAGCCAAGGTATTTGAGACTCTTTAGAGACTGAGTTCTCTGTGTCTGTGCCCAGCCTAGGCTCCTCACTTTTGTAACGTTGTCCCCCACTTCCTTTTTTTCTACCTCCCTCTCCCCCCAGGGCCAGGGGAGGGGCTGGGAGAGAGTTGCTAGAAACATTGCTTTGGGGGGTAGTGGCCGTTCTCCTATCCATTCTGTTGGCTCCTCTCCTTACACAGCTGGCCAGCTGTTCTCTGTGAGCTATCCTACTGTTAGCCCCTCAACATGGTATGGCAGGGTAGAGCACTAGATTTGAAGTCAGGAAGACCTGGGTTCAAATCCCTCCTCGAACACTTACAAGTGATGCAATTCTGGGAAAATCACTTGACCTTTCTGGGGCCTTGGTTTCCTCGTCTGTAATATGAGGGGATTGGACTCAATGATTTCTAAGGTCCTTTGTAATTCTAGATCTGTGCTCTCTTCCTCCCCAAGGTCCCTATTCTGGCATCCAGTGATGTCTAGAGATGGGAAAGTCTGTCTTTTTATGATCCCCTCCACTGTCAGCACCCCCAGTAGCCCTTTGCAAAGGGGAAGCTGGGCAGGGACTCTAGGTTTTCAAGATGGAAGGAATGACCTTCGCATGGGGTTCTCCTGGGAAGCCATTATCTTCTAAGCCTCTCAGAGATCAGAGCATCTGCCAGCGAAGGCTGGCCATGGGGGGGGCCCTGCTCTTGACCAGGGCTTTCCCCTGATTCAATAGATTATGATCGCTTCCATCTACTTTTTCAGACATCTTCCCAGACTCAGCACCCAGGTCTAACTGTTCCTCCCAGGTCATAAGACTGACAGGAATATACTGGCCAATGTTTAACAAGCAGCTTTCCAAAAAAAAAAAAATGTGCACACAGCACACTTTTAAGTTTAGTCTGCATTGCTAACATTTCCCCCCATCGCTTTCTTAAGTCTAGACAATCAGTAGGCCAACAAATTAAGCCCTGATTTGCAGCCTTTGCTGATGTCCACTGTGTCAATGCACACCCTGAAAATTTAACAATCAGCTCATGTGAGCCAGCCTTAGTGGGTTCGGCACGCCCCTGACTGTACTTCTCAGACTAGAAGGGGCCTCAGAGGGTTTCTAATCCAACTTCTCATTTTCAGATGAAGAAACCTTGACCCAGAGAGATCAGGTGATTTGCCAGGGTTGTATAAGTAGTGAGTGGCAGACCTGGGATTTGAACTCAGGCCCTAAGATTCCAAATTCAGTGTTGTTTCCACTGTGCCAGGTCAAGAAGTACTTGCTCGTGTCTAATTTAAGTCCCCCCGTACTTTGTCTGCCATGGATAGAGGCAGAGAAGAATGAATCACCTTCCTCTTTAGAGATTTGGGTAGGTAGAAGGTAGTGCCACCTGTTGGTGGGGCAGTTAGGTGGCACAATGGATAGAGCACTGGCCCTGGAGTCAGACCTGAGTTCAAATCTTCCCTCAGACATTGACTAGCTGTGTGACCCTGGGCAAGTAACTTAACCCTGTTTGCCTCAGTTTCCTCATCTGTAAAATGAATAGGAGAAGGAAATGGCAAACCACTCTAGTGTCTTTGCCAAGAAAACCCCAAATGGGGGCACAGAATTGGATACGACTGAGAAGTCCCAAGGTCACTCAGGGTCACTCAGATGTCTTTGACATGTCTTTGATATAGCTGCCCCACCAATAGGTGGCACTACCTTCCACCTACTGAAATCTCCAAAGACGTAGGTGACTCATTCTTCTCTACCTCTATCAATGGCAGACAAGGTAGGAGGTACTTAAATTAGACACAAGCAATTACTTCTTAACCCATGGTACACTGAATTTGGAATCTTAGGACCTGAATCAAAACCCAGGTCTGCCACTCACTACTTATACAACATGCCCTCAGGCCAGGGGTGGGGTATTTTAGGTGTGAAGGGGAGAGCTCAGTCACCTCTTAGTGAAGAACCAAAGACCAAAGGATGACCTCATTGGGGGGAGTTTCATCATTGTGTAGGACAGGGGGACCTCAGTGCCTTTTTGGGGAAGTAATGAGGGGATTGTGGAAAGAGTCCTCACCTGGAGGGAGTCAGATCACCTGTGGTCTGGCTGCAGCTCTGTCAATGGCTTACTGTGTGATGCTGGGCAAATCACCTCCTCTGTCTGGGACTCAGTGTGTACAAATGTGAAGGACTGCAGTTATGATCATTTCTCAATGAAATCCTCTGATGCAGAGGAAAGAACGTTGAACTGAGAGGCAAAAGACTTCCTGTGTGACCTCAGGAAGGTCACTTAACCTCCTAACTTGTTTTCTTATGTGTCAAATGATGGTGATTGTGAACTGGATATCTAAAGACACTTCCAAGTTTTTTTTATAAAATTTTAAGGGGGAAATAGGGAAAGACTGGCCTCCTAATGTGGGGTTGCCCACTTGGGGATCTGAGGGCACTATTATTGGGAAGATACTCCCTGGGAGTAAGGCTAGATAGAGTTGGGAGCTGTCGTCTCTGGGGAGACCCTTCACTCACTTGCCTTTTCTCTTCTTCCATGCCCCCCGGGAACCTGTTAACTTCAGACTTTGCTGCAGGTGAGGTTGCCTGTTATGGTGAGGCCCCTGGGGAGCAGATAGACGGGAGGAGGTGGTGGCTGAGGTCTTTAGGTTGGAACAGGAACCTGGTTTCAGTACCATGGACATGTCCCCTAATTGCCCCTTCTCTCCCCTTCAGAGAAGGGAAGGAATGAATCTATTGGTTTGGAAGCCATGGTATTTTGGTCATTTGAATATGCATGTGAGGGCTAGGAGGTAGAGGATGAGGTACCTCTCCTCTCATTCTCTGACCTCTCATCCTTCCCCTCACTCCACCAGGACTTCTCCTATGATGAATCCAAGGTGGAGTTTGATGTAGATGCTCCCAATGGTGTGGTCATGGAGGGATACCTCTTCAAGAGAGCCAGCAATGCCTTTAAGACATGGAATCGGTGAGTTGGAGTGGATGTGGTGGAAGAGAAGGGGGGGGTATGGGGAAATCAATGAGTCACCCCACAAGCATTCTGTAAGTGCATACAAATGCAAAAACAAAATGGCCCCTGCCCTCAGGGAGCTTACATTCTACTGGGGAATATAGCATGTTGGAAGATAAATAAATGCAGGATAGATACCCAAAAAGATATTTGGATGGGGGAAGGTACTGACTAGCAGGGGGGCCCAGGAGGGATTCTTGAAGGAGCTTGAGCTGAGCCTAGAAGGGAGCCAGGGTTCTAAGAGTTCAGGGTGGGGGGAGGGAAGACATTCCAAGCAGGGAGAATGGCTCGTGCGAAGGCAGGGAAATCTGAGCTAGAACGTTGTATGTGGTGAACAGGAAGGCCAGTCTGGCTCTAGCAAAGCCTGGGGGAGTGGGAGTAATGTGTAAGGAGCCTGGAAAAAACAGCTTGGAGCCAGAATGGGAAGGCCTTTTAAATACCAAAGGGGAGTTTTAGTTTAGCTAAAAGTGGAGGAGAGACTTTGCTTTAGGAATATTGTGAGGTCCTCCAGAGGAGGAGAGGGCAGGGGCCAGGCAGGTTCTGGGGAGGGTGGTGACTCTGCCCTGACTCTTTCAATATCTCAATATTCCTTCTTGTAGGAGATGGTTCTCCATCCAGAACAGTCAACTGGTCTACCAGAAGAAGCTTAAGGTGAGTGGGCAGGAGCTGAGCCACAGGAGGCTAGGGCTGCTGGCCTGATGGATCTGGAGCATTTCTGGTTATTGCCATCCCACAATGCACAGCTGAGGCTGGGGAGGGAAGGGAAGAGGGGATGAGGGGAGGGTTTCTTCTCCTTCCTCTTGATCCTTGAAGTCCAGTGTCCAGGGGCTTAGGGCCCCACTATTTCTTCCTTCCAGAAAGCGGTCCATTCTTTTCTCTCTCCTCTTGAGTGGTCTCAGGGCTGTGCTTATGGTGGAATCACATGAGACAAGAGGTGTAAAATGGTTTGTGAACCTTAAATGCTGGTTACACATATGCCATACCTGTATGTAATATACATGACACACATCTATAATGCATTGTATACCATGCATGTATACGACATAGCGCTTTCTTATTACTTCTCGTGAGTGGGTGAGAGTTCCAGGGCTGGCGGTCAGGGCGTCAGTGTCTGGCTTTGTGGTTAGCGGGTCAGGATCCAGGCTGAGTAGTCAGTGGGTTCGGTGCCGGGCTTAGGATGCAGCGGGCCGGCGCTCTGGCCAGCCAAGGGTTGGTCTGGGGAAGGGCGCTCTGGGAGTTTGGCCTTTCAATGGGTCCATCCCTCTAGGATGGGCCGACTGTGGTGGTAGATGATCTCCGGCTCTGCACTGTGAAGCCGTGTGAGGACATGGAGAGGAGGTTTTGCTTCGAGGTGGTCTCTCCTACAAAGTAAGGGGCCTGGATCCTGGCTGGGGAGGGAAGACGTTCCAGTGGTGGGGAGGGTGGGGAGAACAGATGCAGGGTGGGTTTCCTGCTCCGACTGACTGTCTTTGGAGACTTTGGGGGAGCCTTGTGTGAAAGGAGGGGCTCTCTGGGGGAAGGGTTGGGGACTCAGCTCCCTTGTCTCAACATTGATCCCTCTTCCCCAGGAGCTGCATGCTGCAGGCTGACTCAGAGAAGCTCCGCCAGGCCTGGGTTCAGGCAGTCCAGGCCAGCATTGCCTCGGCTTACCGGGAAAGCCCCGACAGTTACTACATAGAGGTGAGGCTGGGTCCGGAGGTAGCCAGCCCCTCCAGGGTGCAGCCCAGTGGGGTTGCCCTGCCATCTGCTGGCCACACCTGGTAGTGCAATATCCCAGCATGGTCATTGTCTTAGGGTATGGGGGTGGGTGGTAGGTAGGTGGGTGGTAGGACCTGTTCCTGCTGAGGATACCCAGTCACCTCCAGCTTTCTCCCTTCCTAGAGACTTGACCGAACGGCATCCCCATCCACCAGCAGCATTGACTCTGCCCCGGACACCAGGGATAGAAGCAGCAAGGGAGAGGGCATCCTCCAGCGGGTGCAAAGTGTAGCGGGCAATGGTCAGTGTTGTGACTGTGGGCAGCCTGACCCCCGCTGGGCCAGCATCAACCTGGGTATCCTGCTGTGCATCGAGTGCTCGGGCATCCACAGGTGTGTGTGTGGGGGGAGGGGGGTAGAGATGGGGAGGAGGTGGCAGGGGACTCAGGGCCAGGGCTGGGTCCTGAGGGACATCAGGGCCAAGGCTGGGACCTCACAGCAGAGGCCTCCGGAACATCAGGGCCAAGGCTGGGACCTCACAGCAGAGGCCTCCGGAACATCAGGGCCAGGGCCGGGGACTCTAAGACCTCAGGGACTCAGGAAGTATCTCAGGTATTACCTTCATTTCGTGAATAGGGAAACCGAGGCTCAGGTGAAGGGACTTGCCCAGGGCCATTGGGATTTGAATGCAGACCTTCACAGCACTCTATTCCCACTGAACTAATACTCGGTAACCTGGCACTGGGGACGTGAGCTGAGTGCATCATGGCTGGGACTCTGGGGTAGGAGCCTTAGGAGCCTCAGGTCAAGATCGTGGATAAAATAATGACAAATAATACATGTTGATATAACACTTTGTAGTTTGCAAATCGCTTTAGGTCCATAATCTCACTGGACCCACCTCCCATTAGCACTGTGAGGCAGGTCCTGTGGGATTTATTATCCTTACTTGGGGATGGGCAAACTGGGTGTCAGACTAGTGAAGTGACTTGTCCAGGGTCACACCGCTAGTAAGTGGCTGAGGGATGATCTGAACCCAGTTCTTGGTGACTTCAGGTGCAGCACTCTATCCACTGTATCACACTGATTCACATTCTGGCCTGGGGCCTCAGGAACCCCAGAAGCAGGGCTGGAAACCCCTGGTTAAGGGATGATACAAGGCTTACTCTAAGCCTAAGGGTAGGATGTAGGGACAGATTGAGGTATCCCATGGGCTGACCTCTCCTTGATGTCAGGCTGCAGTGAAAGTCAGAGTATACAGAGAGAGGGAGGTCTCGCTTTTGTCCTCTGCCCTGGTCAGGACACATCTGTATCATCCAATAGCATATAGGCAGCCAGGCGGCACCAAGGAGTCTGGAAGACCTGAGTTCAAATCTAGCCTCAGAGACTTTCTAGCTGTGTAACCTTGGGCAAATCGCTTAACTTCTGTTGGCCTCAGTTTACTCAACTGTAAAATGGGAATAGTAATGGTCCCTACTTTATAGGGACAAAGCAGCTGTGTTGCCATCATCATCATCGTCATCATCACCCTATTCAGTTCTGGATGCCCCAACTTCTTGTTCATTCATTTTTATATTTTTAACAATATTTAAATTTTTAAATCCCACCCCCCCCAGTTACGTGTGAAGACAATTTTAACATTCATTTTTTTAAAAGTTGAGTTTGAAGTTTTCTCTCTCCCTCCCTCACATGCCCTCTCCCTGAGATAGTAAGCAAGTCGATACAGGTTATACGTGTTCAATCATGCAAAACATATCACAATCTTAGTCATGTTGTGAAAGAAGACAGGGGCAACTAGGTGATGCAGTGGATACAGTAACGGCCCTGGAGAGAGACCTGAGTTCAAATCCCGTCTCAGACCAGATACTGGACACTTGCTAGCTATGTGACTCTGGGCAAGTCACTTAACCCCAATTGCCTTGCCAAAAAAACAAGAATGAAAGAAGACACAGACCTGAAAGGAAAAAAACACACAAAAAATACAGAAAGTAGAAAAATAGCGTGCTTCCATCTGCCCTCAGACTCCACCAGTTCTCTCTTTGCAGGCACATAGCATTTTTCATCATGAGTCCTTTGGAATTGTATTGCTGAGAACAGTTGATCACTGTGCAGTATTGCTGTTACTGTGTTCAGTGTTCTGGTTCTGCTCACTTTACTTTGCATCAGTTCATGTCTTTCCAAATTTTTCTGAAATGATCCTGCTCATCATTTCTTATAGCACAGTGATATTCCATCACAATCACGTGCCACAACTTGTTCAGCCATGTCCCGATGGATCAGCTGGATGTTCCATTTTGAAAGGACAGTATTAAGCTAAAGTGCATCCGCAGGTTGGGGGACCAAGGACTGGTTGAAGGAACTAGGGATGTTCAGCCTGTAGAAGAAACAACTTGGGGGCAGGGCATGCTTGTTGTCTTCAAGTGTTTGAAGGATTGTTGAGGAAGAGAGAACAGCTAGGATACTCCCTGCCACCCTCCCCCCCCACCCCCTCCACAGTGGTGGAAATGGGGAAGAGGAGTTGCAGATGAACAGGTCTTGGTTCAAAATGTGGAAAACCTTGGCAGCAGCTAGCTTCTTTGGAAAGGAGGCAGTTTCCCCCTCCCTGAAGGTCTCTCAGAAGTCTGGATGACTTCTTCGATGCTGTAGAGAGGATTCATACCCAGGCAGGGCTGGGGTCCCTGGCAGCCTCAAGTTCCTTTGATCACTCAGGAGGATTCGTGTAGCTTCATCTGCCTTTGGGGAGTGCAGAGAGCAGCAATCTGGGTAATCTCTGCAGCGAGCAAGCTTGGGATAATCCCCAAATCATTTTCATCTGGCTTTGGAATGCATCATGAGAATCTAGTCTGGGAAGAGATTTCCTTTGCTAATCACTTCCAGCTTGGGCTGATGTGACCTCAGAGATGAGCAGCCTAGGGAGAAAGTCTCACATTAGCTAAGCCATATGTGGCTGAGGGTTATCCTAGGTCAGCCCTGGGGAGGCTGGGTTTGAACTTTGCCTCGTCCCTGACTCCACTTTTTCCCTTCCTCCCCTGTAACCCAGGAGTCTAGGGGTCCACTGCTCCAAGGTCCGGTCCCTTACACTGGACTCTTGGGAGCCAGAACTGCTGAAGGTGAGTGCCGTCCCTGCGGGGGATGTATGAGTATGTATTTGTGTGTATGTGTATGTGTATGTGTGTGTGTGTGTGTGTGTGTGTGTGTGTGTGTGTGTGTGTGTGTATGATGGGATTGTGTATCGGAACTATTGATGAAGCTTAATTCTATTAACCTCCTACCAGCTGATGTGTGAGCTTGGGAATAGCACCGTGAACCAGATCTATGAGGCTCAGTGTGAGGAACTGGGGCTCCAGAAGCCAACAGCCTCCAGTTCCAGGTTAGTAGGTCAAAAGATAGGGAGATGGATGAACTAGGGTTGGGGGTTGGGGTTAGGGGTTGAGGGAAATGGAAGGGCAAGGTCAGAGGTTAGAGGGATATAGAGTTGGGGTCATAGCAAAGGGATGGAAGATTGAACTCATACTGGGAAGATGGAGGGATGATATCATGGGTAGAGAGATAGAGGGATGGGTTCATGGGTGGAAAAATGGAGGGACAAGGTCATAGATAGAGGGATGAAGGACTGGGTTCAGTGTTTGGAGGGTGTAGGGATGGAGGCCATGGGCAGGGGGATGGAAGAGTGGGCTTGGATATTGAGAGCATGGAGTGGCATCAAAGATAGAGGGATCGGGACATGGGCAAAAGGATAGAAGGTCAGAAAGTCATGAAAGAGGAGATAGAGAAGTAGTGTCATGGGAAGAGGGATGGAGGAATGGTCTTAAGAGTTTAGGGGAATGTAGGGATGGGTTGGGGGGATAAAGAGTGAGTTCAGAAGTTGAGAGGATGGAGGATCAAGGGGTCATGGGCGGGAATATGGAGGAGTCTAGGAAGATGTGGAGGTGAGGTCAGGAGGTAGGGAGATAGAAGAGGGGGCTCAGAGGAAGTGTGGTCAGGGATGGGAGGGATAGAGAAGTAAGGTCATGGGTTAAGGAGATGCAGGAGCAAGGTCAGGGGAGGGGGATGGAAGACTGGACTTAGAGACCGAGAGGGGATGGAACAAGAGGATCATGGTTTGTCGAGATGGGAAGGTGGGGTCAGAAATTAGAGGGATAGAGGAGGGTGGAGGGCCCAGGGTCGGCTTAGAATGAATATGCATTTATTAAGCACTTACTATTTACTATTTACTGTGCTAGACCCTGGGATTGAAAGAGAAAAATAGAGACTGTCTCCATCCTAGCAGAACTTATCCTATTCTCCTATGGGGAGACAACTTGTAAACAAGCTAGAAGTCAGGGATTTATTGATGAAACCCAAGACTTGAGGGTCACAAGGCCATCAGAGCAGGGGGCCTCCGGGGACAGACGTTGGAGTCGTGGTAGGGCTGTGGGACTGGCCTTGTACGAGCAAGTCAGCTGTTTGTTACAGCCTTTGGGTGTGCATTCTCACCCTCACCTTCACCTTCTCCTCCCCAGGCAGGACAAGGAGGCTTGGATCAAAGTCAAATATGTAGAGAGAAAGTTCCTGAAGAAACTTCCAGGCTCTGGGGCTGAAGCCATTGAGACAGCTGGCGGGGGAGAGGCCAAGCCCCGGCGATGGAGCACGAAGAGATGTCGACGGCACCAGAGTTCTCCCCGCATCCCCAGGATGCGACGCCAGCTTCGGCAGGAGCCTGCCGCCATCTCCCCTGCAGCGCTGTCATCAGGTGGGGACCCTCGGCTCCCAAATCCTTCCTGCCCTCTCCCCTTGGCTTTTGTGCTCATAAATTGCGCAAGCCGCTTGGCCCAACTCTCCTCTGCATCTTTTGTCAAGTGAACACCCCCCCACCCCAATCTATTGTGTCCTTGGCCCCCAAACCTGCCATCTCTCCAGTACTCCCCCTCTCCCCAGACTGAGAATATGGGAAAGTTCAAGGTTGACTTATATACTCAAGGGAAGGGTCTCCTGGGGGAGGGGAGCGTTAGCAGAGTTTTCTGACATTCCACGCCAGTAAGATTGAGGCCAGCGTTCTGTGGTGGAAAGAGCTGGATCGTCTGGAGTCATGTGAGCCAGGTTCTAGCTACTTGTGTGACCCAGGGGCCATCGCCTTCCTCTCTGAGGATCAGTTTCAGCCCCTGTAAAGTGAGGGGTTGGGATGGAGGACATCTCTAAGTCCCCTCCTGATCTGTTACCACAGTTTCTTCAGACATCCCTCAGAGCTCCCATCAGAGCCTAGATCTTAGGCTGGGGGTGGGGGTGGCAACTGCAAGACTGACCTTGGGAGCATTACTTTAAGACTCTCCACCTCTTTAAAACCTTGTGCAAGAAGAGTGTGGATGGAGCCATAACATAGGCACCCATGTGACTTACCGATGGGGCCGGAGGCTTTCTCACTGCCTCCATCTCTCTTTCAGCCTCTGCCTTCAACCATGGCCTTGAGGGGGTGAGATGGGGGAGACCGGGGGGTATTGGCCTGATAGTTTCAGGTGCATGAGGCCTTGTGGGGGGGTGGGGATGCTGAGCGGTGCCTTCACATCCCTCCCCTTCCCTTGCCCCCTCAGCCAGCACTTTGGAACGGAAATTTCGACGTGACTCTCTCTTCTGTCCAGATGAGCTGGACTCACTCTTCTCCTACTTTGACACAGGAGCAGTTGGGGCAGGACCAAGAAGTAAGTGAGAAGGTGGGTGGGTAGGTGGGAGCAGCGCAGCTCATCCCCCTCCCTCCTCTTCCTCCTGTTTCCACCTTCTGTGCTGTCTCTTGAGACTGGGGCCTCTGATGTAGCTACTTGAGGGATCCAGAGCTAGGATTGGGGTGACATGTCTGTGGTCAGGACAGGTCCTGATCCACTTCCCCTCCTTCAGGTCCCTGGCACCCTCACCCCACCCTGGGGATTGGAGGATACTGTGGGCTCCTGCCCATCCCCCTCTGGCTTCCGGGAGCTCTGCCCCATTAATCCCCGTCCTGTTCCATCCACCTTCCTCGTAGGTGCTGGCCACATGTCTGCGCAGGCCCCCCCCAGCAGCTGGTCAGTGGGACAGTGGCCTGGGCCCCGGGGGCACCGAGGCGTGCCTCCCGGCCGGAGGTAAGGTAATCTCGAAGCAATGGCCTGCACGCAGAGGAGGGAGGGAGAGAGAGAGGGGGACAATCACTTCCTCCACTCCAGTGTCTCCCATGCCCCATCCCACATCCCTCCCCCCACCCTGCCTTCCCTGGCCAACAATCTCAGGCTAGAACTTTGCTTGTTCCAAGGAAGCACTTTGCTCAATGGGACTGTGGAACTGGGATGGGCTGTGGTGACTCCAGAGATCTGTAGAGATGTCACCTTGAGGGCACCCAAGCTAGAACTCCTGGTTCCAGTATTTCAAGGAGGCAACTTATAGGGTCGGGAGTGATGGCTAGGTCAATATAGGGGAAATGGATTAGATTATTTAGTTTCCGGTTAATTTTTAATCTTATCTTTCCATGGCCCTTTATTAAATGTAATTTTTTTGCATCATGATCTGAAAAGGATGTATTTAATACATTTTCTGCATTCGATTGTGAGATTTTTATGCTCTAGTACATGGTCAGTTTTTGTGTAGGTGCCATGTACCATTGAGAAAAAGGTATATTCCTTTCTATCCCCATTCAGTTTTCTCCAGAGGTCTATCATATCTAACTTTTCTGAGATTCTATTCACCTTCTTAACTTCTGTCCTGTTTATTTTGTGGTTAGATTTATCTAGTTCTGAGAGGGGAAAGTTGAGGTTTCCTATGTAGGGACAATGGACCTTAGAGCCAGAACTGGGTGTGAATCCTGGTACAATGGGAAGAGCCCCAATTCTGGGGTTAGAATGCCCAAATTCAAATCCTCCTCCTCATGTTTATTACCCGTCTGACTTCAGGCAGGTCACTCTCCCTCTCCCTGGGCTTGTTTTCACATGGGTAGAATGGGGAGGTTGGGTTTCATGGCCTTAGAAGCTTCTTCCAGTCCTAGATCCAGGATCCTCTGTTCCTTTGCTGCCTGTGTGATCTTGGACCACTCCCTTCACTTCCTTAGCCCTGAGTTTCCTCATCGGTAGAAGAGAGGCTTGGACTCAGTGGACTCCATGGCCCCTTCCAGCACTAGATCTGTTACCCCATGATCCCATGAGTTTGTCCACGGGTTCAATGTTTCCCCTACTGTAGTTGCTAACTCTGTCTTGGTAGATGGCTTCCTATAGCTTCTCTGGCCCTGTTGAGGACTGACCCACAGCCTACACCAGGTGGGCATCACTACCAGACCTTGTGCTCTGTGGCCAGAGCCTTGGGAACTCAGAGTTACCTCTGTGCCATGATGAGGCCCTCAAACAGTGGAGGTATAGTGGAAATCAACTACTCTTCTCTTCATCTTCTGGTGTCATCGATGCCAGGGATTTCACCATATATGAAAACACCCTTCACTAATGCAGATTGGCAGCTTGTCCAGAGCTTAACAGTCTTCATGAGTTGCCCAGGGCACTGAAAAGTTAAATGACCTGCCCAGGGTCTCACAGCCAGGCTGGCTCAGTGGCTGGGCTCAGATCCACATCTTTGTAACTCCAAGGCAGACTCTGTCCTCTAGGACCTGATGCTTCTTAGTGAAAGATTATTCCTTATTGTGTTGAGAAGTACAAGAATAAAGGCTGTCTTTATTTGACGTCCCAGTCACATGGCATTGGTTCACTTCTGATGGGAGGGGAAATCCAAGAAGGACCCCAGCACATTGGGTGTCCTCCATGCCCCCCTCCTTGGTGAACTTATGGGAAGAGCTGAACAAGTCACTCAGGGTGGCAGCCACCTGTGGGGTGGGAGGTGCATCACTGGGTGGAATTCCTGAATGGAAGAGATCACAAATCCATCTGAAAATCTAAGTCTAGTAGGCAGAGGCAAGGGAAGATCGAAGGACAGTTTCTGTGATTCATCAGTGTCCTTGAATTGTCAAGAGAAGTACAAGGAAGTCCTCAGCAGGTGGGGTAAACCAGCATTTGGTGAAGAAATAATAATAATAATAACAACAACTAGCATTTACACAGCACTTTAAGGTTTCCAAAGCACTTTACAAATATTATCTCAGATGATCTTTACAAAAGCCCTAGGAGGGAGATGTGCCTTTATATTATCCCCATTTTACAGTTGGGGAAACTGAGGCAGACTTTCCCAAGGTCACACAGTTAGTATCCGGGGAGGGCATTACAAGCAAAGAAAACTGCTGAGACTAGACCAGAGGTGTTGGCGGTTGGTGATAATGGGAGGTAAAGGAGAGAGGGGAGGAGGCCAGGAGCTAGCCAAGGTTCTGAATCGATGTGTGATGGGTTGCTGCTAGTGGAAGGCACATTGCATCCTGCCCTAGGTCCCCACTTCTTACAGACCTTTTTCCTTGGAGCTGTGGGAAAGGCTGTCAGGCTTGGGGAACAGGGAGGGGGGAAAGCGAGAAAGCCTAAAGGGGCCATGGCACCCCGATGGGAATGGGGAGAACTCAGCCTGCCCTTTAAATAGTGCTTTATGTTTGGAATAAGGTAAATAGAGAGCAGAAGTGATTCTTGTAATGTTAGACCCAAGCCCAGATGGAGACTGAGCCTGTGGACCTTTGCCTCCCACACAAGGCACCAGCCAAACAAAACAACTTAGGACCAGTGGTGTGGATGGGGAGGGGAGATCTTAGCAAACCTTGAGTTCAGAGCCCCAAGTTCCAGGTGACCAAGAGACTGTCCCTGAGGAGAGCTAGCCCTTCCCTCCCATCAGTCCCCACTCCTGTGTGTCCCACCCTTAAACATCATGGGTGCAGAGGACTGCAGCCTTCCCTTCCCAGACATCGGCAGGTCTCTCTGACCCTGGCCTTGATGGGGATCATGGATGATAGAGAGGCACCTAGTGTAGAGGCAAGACTCTTTGCCCCCATCCTCACCCCACCCCCAGCTCCCTGTAGCAGGAGCTGTGTGTCTGTGTGTCTGTGTGTCTGTCTGATCCTCACTGTGGATATCTGTGCCCCTGGAACAAGACTGGTCTTGCCTTAGTATGTCTCTTCATCTCCATGTACACCCCTTCCATCTGCTCGTTTCTCCCTCACCCCTCCAGTCTACTATTTGCCAAAGGCCTAACTCGGTAAACTTAACCATAATTAAACAGAATTTCATTTTATTTTTTCTCCCTTCTACTCTGTGGATGGGGGTTAGGGTGGGCCTCACGGTTCTCTGAGGAACACAATTTCCCCTCCTTCCCCCCCAGGTTCTTTCCCCTTCTAGCTGGAGAAGGGATCCTGCTGCAACTCCCTTCAGTCTCTGGACTATTAGCCCTTTCTGTCTGGAGGGGAGGGTGGGTAAGATCAGGGCTCTCGGATTCAGGCTTTGGGGCCTAAGTGGGCCATCTTTTTCCTTCTGCCTAAGCCTAGGCTGAGCTGAAAAAGCTTGCATGGACCCCTATTCTTCCAGTTTTGGGGACACCATCCCAGTCCCTGGTTTCATGCTGCTAGGCAGGCCCAGGAGGCAAAAGAGAGCAAACATCCCCTGCCTCCCAGCGTACCATTCATTGCAGGTCCTTGCCTCTTGGTATTCAGGGCCCCTGGGTCCATCTCCCATTGGCCCCACAGGTCTGAGCAGCGACAGCGGCCTCGGTGGCAGTACAGATGGGAGCTCGGACATCCTGGTGTTTGGCTCGGTGGTAGACAGTGTCATGGAAGAAGGTGTGTGTTGCTCAGGGCAGGTCCATGGGTTAGTTAGGGAGGGGGCTTCAAGCCTTCAACCAGGGATGAGGGGGAGGGAACCTAGAGGGCCCCAAGTTACCTGGCTGTGGTTTCAGAGGCCCCATTGCCTAGGCGATGGTCAGGCGCTCAGATACAGGTGCTTAAAGCTGGAACTAGGCACTGCACCCTGGTGCCTAGCATGTAGGAGAGAGGGAGGAGGAAGGATGGCGGGTGGGAGGGAGACCAACTGGGATATGGAGAGATGAAGGCATTTCAGGCTATCACAAGATTTCCACACTGCTGAAAGGCTGGTCACTGCAGGGAAGGTGGGAGGAAGACCTGAAGTCTGGGGGGTATTGTCCTTTGGGAAGCACATATACCCTAGAAATGTACCCATTAAATTTGAGTGGCTTGGGACAAAGTCCAGATTGCTCTACCCCAGTTGTGGTTCTGCATCTGTTTAGCAATGTTGTAGGCACTGGGGACCCCTTTGCCTGGCTGTGCTGCCCCTGCCATTTTTCCAGGCGGGTCCCTTTTCCCTTCCCTTGTGTGAAGGAGCCCTCTGGTAGTGAGGAAAGATGCTTCCCTCACCCCACTACCTTCCCCTTCTCCCAGAGGGTGAAGAGTCTGAAGGCTCCAGTGCTGAGGGTGACCGTGAGACCTGGGACCCCGAGGACAGCCGAGAACTGCATCCAGGGCTACTGGCCTACCGGGCCGCTCGAGCCAGAAATCTGCCCGTCCTGGCGGAGGCCCTGGCCCATAATGCCGAGGTGAACTGGGTCAATGAGGAGGATGAGAGCAAGACGCCACTGATCCAGGCAGTGCTGGGGGTGAGTGGTGGGGACCCCGAAATCACCCTCAGGACTCGTGCCTGAGCTGGGAACTCACCTCTGCAAGTATTGGTCACTACCCACCCTCTGGCCAGTCACCACAGTGATGGTGGAGTGAATAGAGGGCTGGGCTTGGGGTCAAGGGCACCTGGGTCCAAATCCAGCCTCTGACATTCACCAGCAGTGTGACCGCAGACAAGTCACTTAACCTCAAAATGCCTCAGCTTCCTTATCTGTAAAGTGGGGTTAATAACAGCCCCTACCTCACAGGGTTATTTTGAGGGTTGAATAGTATAATGTATAGTGATTCTCAAAGTTTCTGATCTCACTATCACTTTATATTCTTAAAAATGACCTTGGAGCTTCCCAATGAATCTGTATTGCTGTGGGGTCTATCTATTGATATTTACTATCTAGAAGTCAGAATGTCTTCATGTTATTATGAAAATAGTTTTGACCTCATGGACCCCCTGGAAAGGTTCCCCTGGTCCACACTTTGAGAAATGCTGATGTATAGAAAGTATTTTGAAAACCTTAAAGTGCTATCTAATATTAGTGCTAACTAATATTACCAATCAATCAGCAGACATTTATTAAATGCCTGCTATTTGCCTGGCACTCTGTTAGGCATTGGTGGTACAGAGGCAAACAGGAAACGTTCCCTGCCCTCAGGGAACAGGTGAGACTTGTGTTCTGTTGGGGGGGGGTTGGAAGGCAGAGGGCAGATTTTTACAGCCCCACCCCTCCATCCCCACTGCCTCTACTTCCCCCAGTTCAGAGCCTCCTTGCCTCTCACCCAGAGCGCTTTAATAACCTCCTAATTGGCTTCCTCCACTTTGGTCTCTTCTCGGTTCGATCCCCCTTGTGTAAGGTGACCAGCCATTGCTCTGATTATTTATCCTTCCCCCTGGTCCCACTCAGGAAGATGCACCCTTCGCACCCCTTCCACCCCACTGTGCATAGGATCACATAGAACTTGTCCACCGATCAATCTCGACCTCATCCCTCTCCTCTCTGGCCTCTCTAGACTTCTCAATGACCTGCTTCCCTTCTCCACCTGGGCTGGGGCTGCTCCCTCTAGTTTGTGCTTAGCCCAGCCCTACCCATCCTTCAGGGCCCATCCTCGGGAGGCCTTCCCTGACTTCCCAGGGCTCACTGGGAACTCTGGTTCTCCTGCGCTCTCAGAGGTCTGACTGCCTGGGACATGGAGCCTACCCCACCACCCTGAGCACTCTCTGAGCTGCTCTGCCTCCGGCCATGGGTGTGAGTCCTGTAGGTCTCCTCAACCTGACAGGGGTCTCCTTGAGGACAGGAACCAGATCTTCTTCTTCCGCCTCCCTTTTCCCCATCCCTGCTCAGCCTGAGGCACCGGGCTTCAATTCAGTTCCACATACACTGAAAACGTTCCTGCCACATACAAGGGGTTGCTGTGTGTATATTAGATTGGGCTAGATTGTGGAGAGCCTTGAATGCCAGACTAAAGAGATCATTACCCTAAGGATTAAAGCTAAACTATATCATATATGTAGCACATAGTTATATAGGAATACTCCTACTACTATTATCTAACATTTATATAGCGTCTACTATGTGTCAGGCACTGTGCTAAACACTTTACATTTATATTGTTTGTTCCTCACTGCAACTCTGGGAGGTCGATACTATTATTACCCCCATTTTACAGGTGAGGAAACTGAGGCAGATAGAGGTTAAGTGACTTGCCCAGGGCCACATAGTAAGTATCTGAGGCTACATTTTAATCCAGATCTCCCTGACTTGGGGCAGCTAGGTGGTCCCACAGATAGAGTTCTAGGCCTAGAGTCAGGAAGACTCATCTCTCTGAGTTCAAATATGGCCTCAGACACTTACTAGCTGGATGACCCTGGACAAGTCACCCTGTTGGCCTCAGTTTCCTCATCTGGAAAACGAACTGGAGGAGGAAATGGCAAACCACAGCAGGATGTTTGCCAAGGAGACCCCAAACGGGGTCACAAAGAGTTGGACAGGACTGAAATGACTGGACGACTTCTTGACCCCAGACCCAGCACGCTATCCGCTGCAGCGCCTCCTAGCTGCCCCATCAGGACAAGGACTGGGAAGAGCATTCCTCAGTCAGTGAGATTGCCATCTTTTCTGCAGTGTCTAGTCTTAGGGAGTCAGGGCTGGGGCACCGAGAGGTTAAGTCCCTGACTCAGGACCCCACTGTACGTCAGAGCTGAGATCTGAACTTGGGTCTTTCAGACTCCAAGGCTGGCTCTCTACCCATTATGATACACTGCCTTTTATAGTTTAATGCTGTTATCTGATGCCCACATACACTTAAAAACTTGCCAAATCTTTGCCCTCCAGGGGTCCCCCAGGTCTAGCCTGAAGAAGTCAGATATTGGAAAATGATGTTATCTGCCCACTGGTGACTGGAGCGGGGTGGGGGAAGGGAAGGAAAGGGAATAAACATTTATTACACACTGACGATGCACCAGGCACTGTGATGACGGCTTTACAAATATCTCATTTGATCCTTACGACAACGCTGTGAGGTTGGTACAGACAGACTAAATGACTTGCCCAGGGTCACACAGATAGCAAGCGTCTGAGGCTGGATTTGAGGTCAGGTCTTCCCGACTCCAAGCCCGGCGTTCTATCCACTGAGCCACAAAGCTGCCTGACAGTGATGGGAGACCAATATATGGGGCTTCTGGATCCTGTATGACTCTCTCATTCTCTTCTAGGGTTCCTTGATCATCTGTGAATTCCTTCTCCAAAATGGGGCTGATGTGAACCAAAGAGACATCCGGGGGCGGGCACCCCTACATCATGCCACCTACCTGGGTCATACGGGGTGAGCACTGGCCACAGAAGGGCCGTGGCTGGGCCGTGTGCTGGATGGTTCTGGAGAAGGGGCAGCACTGACGGAAGGGAGCTGCGTGCTCCCACACCCCCTGACCTTCCTCCCCCTTGTAGACAGGTCTGTCTGTTCCTAAAGCGTGGGGCTGACCAGCACGCATTGGATGAAGACCAGCAGGACCCACTGGCCATAGCCGTCCAGGCTGCCAACGCTGATATTGTTACTCTGTGAGTAGGAGGGTCCTGGCAATGCTTGGGGCTATCTTTGAGTCAGAAGACAAGGGAAGATGAAGCCCGAATGGTGTGTGTGTGTGTGTGTGTGTGTGTGTGTGTGTGTGTATGTGTGTGTATGAGACAGCCAGGTGGCTCAGTGGATAGAGCTCTGGGCCTAGAGTCAGGAAGATCTGAGTCCAAATCTGACCTCAGACACTTATTAGCTGTGTGACCTTGGGCAAGTCACTTAACCCTGTTTACCTTAATCCACTGGAGAAGGAAATGTCAAACTGCTCCAGTATCTTTGCCAAGAAAATCCCATATGGGGTCACGAAGAGTCAGACATGATTGAAAAGACTGAACAACAATGTCTTTGTATGCATATATGAGTGTGTGTATGTGTGCGTGCATGCATGTCTGTGTGGGAATGTGCATGTAAGTGTATGTATGTATGTTTGTATATGTGTGTAAGTATATGTACTGTGTTTGTGTATGTGTGTATGCATGTATGTACATGTACTGTGTTTGTGTGTATATGTGTATATGTATGTGTATGTGTGTGCGCGCACATGTGTGTTTGTATGTGTATATGTACTGTGTTTGTATGTATATGTATGTATGTGTATATGTGTACGTGTCTGTATGTACATGTAATGTGTTTGTGTATAAGTATGTGTTTGTATGTATATGTATGTATATGTATGTGTGTATATGTGTATGTATACTGTGTTTATATGTATATGTATGTGTATATGTGTGCATGCATGTATGTACATGTACTGTGTTTGTGTATAAGTATGTGTTTGTGTGTATATGTATGTGTGTGTATGTGTGAGATGCCTAATAGGTCAGTATGTAACACATTCTCTCTCTATCCCACCCCCTTCCCCCCATCCTCCAGGCTTCGGCTGGCTCGGATGAATGAGGAGATGAGGGAAGCTGAGGGACCCCTTGGACAACCAGGTCAATACCCGGGCAGCAGCCCCACTGAACTCCAGTACCGGAAATGCATCCAGGAGTTCATTAGCCTTACTATTGATGAGTGTTAGCACCCTGGTCCCCACCCACCCCCTTCTTTCTTTGTTTTGTCCCTGAGGGGTCATGGGGAGGGGGGACTTGGGGCCCTGGAAGCCAAGCCCAGAACCTGTGTCTGTCCCTGCCCCATTTTCTGACAGATCAGCCAGGGTCTGGGGAGGCCTTGGGGTCCAGCAGATCGGGGTAATCACCTCCCAGTCCATCTGCCGTGGCAGGCAGGGTGGGGAGGACGTAGCTCTCCAATTGGGAGGCATGTGGAGCCTGGGATGATTCCCCTTCCTGGGTCTAGCCTGATGGAGCTACCCAGATCCCATCTCCTTGGAGTCCCTGGTCCCCCACCCTTACCTTGCATGTTCCATGACCAGGTCAGATGCCAGGCATCTGTCTTCTTCCTCAAGCCCCTGTCCACTTCCCAGCCTTCCCTTTTAGCCTAGTCCTGTCCTCTCTCCATAGCCCCTCTCTGCCCCCCTGCTCCATATCATCAGGGCTGGGGAGAGCTTTCTCCACACCAGGGCTACCACATGGGTCGCCCTGGCCCACACTCTCTCCTTATATCCCAGGACCTCCTCCCCCCAGCATCCCCCAGATATCCAGAGCTACTCTTCCCAATCTAATACCCACTGAACTCTGTCCTAGCTGAGAGAAGGAGGGGGAGGAAAAGAGTCTCTCTAGAGGATCCAGACCCATGTACCTCAGTGAAGCATTCTTGGGCTCCAAGGCCAACAGATCCTTTTCTCTTCCCTCCACCCCCCCCATTCCCCCAAGGCTGATCTTCAAGGACACTGGTCTAGCAGGAGCCTTACTCAGAGCCTTGTGGCTTCAGGGCCCGTCCAAGTAGGGGTCACTCCCTCCTCAACCCTCCTGGGGCCTGGGCTCCCTCAGCAGTCCCACTCCCTAAGCCTCCCTTCATCGGTCCTGGGCTAGGCTCAGGATGCCACCCCCCTTGGCCCCTGAATGCTGGCGTTCTGGCTGGACGGCGTGGCTGGCCATGTCCAACCTGTCCCCCAGGATCCCCTTCTCTCTACTGGTGGGCAGTGGCACTGTCCCTGACGCAGGGCCTGTCAGGGGAACAGAGACTGGACACTGCTGGCCCCCAGACCTTTAAAGGAGAAATACTGTATCGGTACCTTACTGAGAGTCATTGTATAAAGCAACTTTGTGCACTTTTTCTTACTTCCCACCATGTTTATGTTTCTGGTTTGGGCCCTGGATTTGCTCGGCTGGGTGCTCGGCAACGGGGCTCAGTGGCTGGTTGAGTGTGGGTGCTCAGAGGACCAGTTCAGTGCCCCACCCCCACCCCCCCACAACACAAGGGGAAGAGTCTATGAGGTTGCTGCCCCAGGTGCTGCTGCCAGACTTTTTTTTTTTAACTGGCCTTCCCTCCCTGCTACCATAACCCCACCTCCACCCTGCTAGTGCCATCTTGGTTTTTGACTGGAGATCCAAGTGTCCATCTCCCTGCCATGACTCCTTATTCCTCAGACAGAGACTATGGGGCATGGCCTAGACAGATGGATGGCTGGAAGAGTCATTTTCCCTGGGAATCTGGCATGGGGAAATGTGGGGGGGGGAGGGGTCGGTTCTAAGAGGGAAAGGAGCTGGAGGAACTTATAGGATTGCCTGTACCAGGATGGGGCTGTCCAACCTTTTCATTACTAGCCTATAGCTATGTAGACAGTCCTTTCTGAATGCTCGCTCCCAGGTTTTCCTTTGCTGAGTTTTTTGGGGGGTTTTTTGAGTGGGGACAGGATGTGCCCTGACCCACCAACCTTTGACTTGGGTTTTCCTTTGTTTGTGACTGGAAGCCTCTACCTTCTCTCCCCCTCCCCCCAGGGGTCTGGGTCCAGTCCTATCCCTTTCTTAGTTAGGAGGCCTGAGGGGTTGGGAAATAGTCCTTGGCCATTGGACTGCTTCCTTCTTCTCCTGTTCTGGGTTGGGGTATCAATGGAGCATGGAATGTGCCAATGGGCCTCACTTTCCTACACTCTCTGGGTCCGGGTTGGAAGGAGATGGATGAAAGGGAATGTGGGCTGGGGAAGGGATGGCATTTGAGAGGCCTGGATTTGGGAAGGTTGGAGACTGTAACACTGTTCAGAGATTGGAGGGGGGGCATGCTCACAGAGCCTTCTGCCTGCCTAGAGACAGAAAGGGGCACAGGATACAAGTACAACTGAGTTAGGTTGGGGTGGGGAGTGGGGGGAGCTGGAAGGGCCCCCTTGGGCCAGGGAGTTCATAGTTGGGGAGCTTTAAGCTTCTGGTCACTCAGCTCCTCCCCCACTGCTGAGCTGGCCAGGCTGGGTTGGGGTTGGGGAAGGGGTTGTCACTATGCAAACTGCCACCCAGGGAGAGGGAGGCTCTGTAGGCAGCGCAGGGGCTGGGCTCCCCCAGCTGGCCAGCCCCGTCCCCCCTCTCACTGTAAATAAGTGCTAAACTGAATTAACTATTTCCTTCTGCTTGCTTTCTGTGCACCCTCCCTCCCCTGAGAATGGAATGGGGCCTTTGGATGGCTCTGAGCTTTGTTTGAACCTTTGGAACCAGTTATCTGGAACTCTGCCTTTCTTTCCTCCTTCCATGGTCTCCTGAATCAAACCCTCTTAATAAAAATCTCACTCCACTGCCACCTGCTCCTGCTTGGGCTCACTTATTCACTGGGATCTCAGCCTTGGGGGCTCTGTTAACTGGTTACCTCTTTGGATGGGACACCTTGCCTCCCACCTGTGCTGCTTGGTCACTGCTCCTGCTGCTCTGTCTCTGGCCAGGGTCTGGGAGGGGCAGTGGATAGCTCAGCGTGGCTCCCTCTGCCCCTTCCCCCCCCCCCAGGGTCCTAGGGCTTTGGGAGCAGCCCTGAAGCACCACCAGGTCCTGTACTCTACCTGATCTCAACTCTACCTGATTTTGCTGCAGACAGAACTCAAACCTGTCCCAACAGCAAACTTACTAACTCACTTTTCTGCTGGATTCTCTCTTCCTTCTCTGCCATCCCTTCCCGGAGTTGTCCTCTCCTCTAATGACCGTATGGGCTCCCAGCAATGGGGGCCAGGTGGGTCAGGCTGTGAAGGTCCCAGAAGAGCCGTAGGCTGACTGGAGCCTCGCTCTGCTGTGGGGATCTGAACCCAAGCCTCTCTGTGAGATGGGCAGAGTAGTTTTCATCTCAGGAGGGCCAGGGGAAAGCCAGTGAGGCCATGGAGGTGAGCACTCGGGGCCCAGGGGGATGGGGGTTGTGTCTGGTTCACAGGCTTTGATTATGAGTCCCAGGTGGAGGTGGGGAGGAGGACAAGGGGTCTCTAGAGTTGGCACCCATGATGTGGGGTAGGGAGAGACGGTCTGGGCATCCTGGACTTTTACAGGTTTCCTCCACCCTGCATCCCTGAATAACATGGCAGGAGGTGAGTGGGGGCCAGGTCTGAATCTGTTCTCTTTTCTCCCCTCCCACACCATCTCCTTGCAGGTGATACCACCTATCTGGACATCTTCCGGGAATTCTCCCACATGGCGTCCCACCACCCAGAGAAACTCAACCGGCAGAGCCTCCATGTCAGCCCCTCAGCCCAATAGCCTCTCCCTTCTCTCCAGGAGCTGGGCTGGGCCTTCAGCCTGAGCTTGAACTGCCCCTGCCTGGTTTTAGAAATACAGGGAACAGGAGTGCTCGTCCTTCTAGGGGAGGGAAAGGGAAGATGGTTTCTCTACAGCATGTCTGTTTCCAGGCTTTGTCCACTAGCCTGGAGACAGGGGAAAGGGAGAGAGAATTTGGGGCTCAGCTGGACTGAGTCTGAGATGTTTGCCCCTCTGCTTGCTAATGGGTCCCATAGGGAGGGGAGTGGGACCCCTAAGGGGGAGCAGACGGGCTTGATCTTGTTTGTCTTAGGGCTGGACAAGATCCCTCCACCCTAGTTACTGAACATCAGAAGTGGGGCTTTCTCTCCTCTGGACCCATGTCTCTTTTGAGTCTCACAGGTCCTAAGGCCTAGATTCCCCTAGTCTTCTGCTAAGGGGCTAAACTCTCTCCCCCATGAGTTAGGAGATTGCTGTCCTCATAGCCTCTGCTCAGGAGCATTTTGGCAGAGCTCAGTCTCACATCCTATACCCATTGTTCAAGTATCTTTGCCCTAGTGAGTAGTTCAGGGGAACCAGGGACCTACCATGTTATCCAATCCCTTTTTGAACATGAGTGGCTGGTCCACTCCCATATAACCTGCTACCCAACCAGCCAGTTTGTGCCCTTGCCCTAATAGACAAGGCTTGGGGAGGAGGTGTCAGTTCCCATCCCTAATAAAGCCAAGGACAGAGAAGCATGACCTTGTGATCATGTGTCTGGGGCTCAACCCTAACCTAGAGGCTAGAGGACTGGCTACAGGCTATGGGCTCCTCCTGGGGGCTCCAGCGCCAACCATCGTGTGGCCCTTCCCCCAACTCAGGATTCCTGCCCAGCCTTAAGGAGCCTGGGTCCTCCCCCCCCATTAGCACTCCCAGGCAACTGGTCCCTGGGCTGCAGTCCGCCTTCCCATACCCATTCCCTCCATGCCCTGAATTGCTGTGAGCGCGGAGAAGATGCCAACGTGTTTTAATGCCTGGTCAAGGCAGAGAGACGGGAAATCTGCTGCAAAGGGGGCTCGGTGCCCCAGCGCTCGCGGGAGTTTTGTGTGCTAGTGCTTTCTCTTGGCGCGTCCTTAGCAGGGGGTATCGGGGAGGGTGGCCCCAGACTCAGCAGAAGGGCCGGGGGCCGTAGCAGGGGGCTTCTGTGAAGCTCTGGAGCTGAGGGTTGTACATGGGCAGGTATTTTCGGAAACATTTGGCCATCTTGTTGTCACACTCGCACGTCATTTTCTCGCAGCGGTCCCGAGTCTTCACTGTGGAGTTGGGGGTTGGGGGAGAGAGGGGGGAAGAGATCAAGGGATCACCCAGGGCCCTTTCCCATCATTCCCTTTGTTCATGGTTACATCGCTATGCCCCAGCATACATTCTCCACCCCTCACCCTCACCCCCAATTCTCTTTATGGAGAAGGTCACTGGACAGAAGGAAGGAGCCTGGTATAGTATAGACCTGAGAAAGTGAGCCATTGACAATCTCACTGAGCCACCCTCCCCCTTTAGTTCCTAGATTACATCTCCACCTTCTCCTCTTCCTATCCCTGCCCCCCACCCTGGGGTTAAGTTCTAGAACTCACCACACTTCACCTTGGTCCCCAGGTTAAGGTATCTGTAGGTGTGAGAGCCAGGGGTGCAGCCAAACACCTGTGCTTTATTGTAACAGCAGTCATGACTATGACAACACCTGCCGTGGGAGAAGAGAAAATGATCTTGGGGTCTCAGTGGCTTGCACATTCAATATGAGTCCACAGTGGGATTATGGGAGCCAAAATAAACTACTGAAACCTTAGACTGCATTGAGAACCAACATGCCCGGGAGTGTTATGTTCAGTCACCGGGTCCAAATTATGGGAAAGCCATTGAGAAGCTAGAAGATCAGAAAGCTAAGGGGCCTTGACTCCATGACATATGAAGAGTGCTTAAAAGAACTGGGGATGTTTAGCTCAGAGAAGACTCAAGGAACCTGGTGGAAACTGTCTCCAAGTGTTGGAGGGGTGGTCAAGTGGAAGAGGGATCAAACTAGACTTGTCCCCTGAAGGCAGAACCAGGAGTGGTGAGTGGAAGGTACAAAAGGGCTAACTGAGGTTCAATGTGAAAACCTCCTCCTTAGTGTTAGAGCTGCCCCAAAGTGGAAGAACCTCCTCAGGAGGTGGGGGCTCCCCCTTTCTGGAGGTCTTCAGCAGACACCAATTAACCACTTGTTAGAGACAGAATAGGGGATTTCTGTTCCTCAGGGCTGGGCGAGCTGACTGCTACATGCTCTTCCAATTTGGAGACTCTGGGGTTCTATGAAGGAGTCCCTCATCCCTCAGGGTCTTGCTTCTCCCTCAAGGTCCCCAAAGCCAGATGACTCATTGACTCATTCTGCTCCTGGTAGGACACAGGGCATCCTGGCATTTCTCACTTCTGGCCCAGGTTTCACAAAGTACACACAAGAAGACAGCCTTGAAATCAACATTTGAAGACTAATTCAGTTGTTTGTGTTCGGAGAGGCAGGCAGCCCAGGGCACAGCCAGGATGTGCCACAGCAGGAAGAAGACAGGGCAGAAGGGAGGGACATGGAAAGAAGCAGCTCGTGGCTTCTGGTAGCTTCTTGTCTGTGCCATTACCCTTGCTCATTCAGGACCAAGCTCATTCTGGTGACAGTGCAGTCCTCACCTTCAAATTTCAGTGCTCTAAAACGGCACTGATTACTTCCCCCTAGTCATAGCTCTGGAGGGAGGGCAGACACCAATGGCAGTGACACTCGTATGGATGTATTGGGGGTGTCTGAGTAGCTTTGAGCTCTATTCCCCAGTAGGTAATCCCAGGATGTTAGGAAAACTGGGCCAGATCCCCCACTCTTTCCTAGGCTCCAGCCCTCTCTCATTTTTTCCTTGTCTCTGTGGCCATCCTAAACCCATCCCATTCCTTCCCATCCCATTCCTTCCCATCCCACCCTCTCCCATCCCATTCCCTCCCATCCCACCCTCTCCCATCCCATTCTTTCCCATCCCATTCCTTCCCATCCCATTCCTTCCCATCCCACCCTCTTCCATCCCATTCTTTCCCATCCCATTCCTTCCCATCCCACCCTCTCCCATCCCATTCCTTCCCATCCCATTCTTTCCCATCCCATTCCCTCCCATCCCACCCTCTCCCATCCTATCTCATCCTATTTGGATCTCTTGGTTCTAGGGACTGTTTATCCTGACCGCTCCCCTTCCCTACTTCCTCTTTCTGGCTTTCTGGCCCTGTGGAGGAGCCAGAGGTTTTAGCTGAGCAGGAATGGGAAGGGAATTAGTAGGGAGAGGGAAGAGGGGGAATAAAAGATAAAAAGATTTTAAAGATTTATTGGGGGGCAGCTAGATGGTGTAGTAGATAAAGCACCGACCCTAGAGTCAGGAGGACCTGAGTTCAAATCCGGTCTCAGACCAGATACTTGACATTTACTAGCTGTGTGATCCTGGACTAGTCACTTAACCCCAATTGCCTCGCAAAAAAAAAAAGAAAAGAAAAGATTTCTTGGAAAATCACAGACCTCTCATTTCTCTTCCTGTTTTACCTGCCCAGGGAGCTGTGACAGGAAGGGGTACTCTGCCCTGCTGCCGGCCCTCGATCTTGCCTACTGCAGCCTGGGTCCAGGCTCCTGTCTGCTGGCCAAGTCCCCAGTTTCCAGACCTCGGAGTCTTTCCCTGGTTTTTGGTGGCCCCAGATCCTCCCCTGCCCCTGCTAACTCCTTACTTGTCAATCTTGTCCATGGGGGCACCTTGGGTGCCAGGGCCACAATGACAGCCGTAACTGCTAAAGTTGGCCAGCCCGTGTGTGAAAGTGTGCAGTCTGATCAGCTCATCCAGCTGGGCTTCCGTGCAGCTCCCCTGGGACAGTGCTAGGACAGGCAAAGGGGATAGGGACAGAGCCTGAGTGGGGGGGGGGCTCTGACCCATGACCCTGGGAGGAAAACCCTTAGGCTAGGAGTTCAGGCCTCAACTCTCATCTCTGAGGGAAACAGAGACTTGGGTCTTCTTACAGCCATGCGCCCTTTGGGCCAGTTCCCGTCCCTCTTTGAGGCTCAACCTCCCCATCTGTACAATGGGGAAGACATCTTGTCCCCCCATACCCGGCTTCTTCTCTAGGTAGGGAGAATGGGAAACATTTTAGACTCCAGGGAAGAGCTCAGGGGTCCCGCTCAGGGGTTACCATCCACTCTCGGTTATCCAAACATGAGTCATCACCACACATATTCCAACCTCCCCAGGCCACCCCTTCATCACTGGGACTGTGGTCAAGGGAGATAAACTCATTTTTATTATTGGACTGTTCAAAGTGGGATCCAGAGAAGGAGCTGTAATTAAGGTGGAGAGAGCAGGGCTTTTTCCCAGGGCACTAAAATTTACAGGCTACCCATACCACCTGCTCCTTCCATCTCTCCAACCCTCCTCCAGAAGGGATCGGCAATGTGGAAACAACCACTTGGTGTCCTAGGGCACACTGCCTCCCTCTTGTGGCCACACCCTGGAGAGCAGCTCTCTCTCCATTCTCCAGGCTTGGGCAAAATATTCCTGGTACTGGTTCTGCCCAGAAAGGTAACCGGTTGATTAATCCTCCAAGTGACTTTGGACCTTAGAACCGGTTCCTGGATCATTCTCCCTGAAATTAATCTCAGCTTCTATAGAACTGATTCCTGAGGGTGGGGCTTTGTCTGATGGAGAACCCAGGTTATCCCCAGCCTACCTCTTTGCATGGTAACTAGAGGGTACTTACCCAAGGCCAGGGCCAGCAGGCGAAGCAAAGTGGGAGCCATGGTTAGGTGGGGCTTCTCAGGCGCTCTGGGACCGGGTTCTCTAGCGGGGTGATTGGGGAGAAGGTGTCCCTAGCTTGATAGAGAAGCCTTTCAGCTCTTGAGCAGATGCTGGGGGGGCCATACCTTTATGTACTGCACCATGATCCTCCTCCTGCTCACCGCTAATAACCAGTCCTGGGGAGGCCTGTGATTAGGGAGGAAAGGAGGACTCACTCCCCTTAGAGTATGTGCTGCCCCCCTCCAGCCTTGAGAGTGGGTGGGGGTGACAGGAAGTTCATGGCCTGGGGTGGGGAGGAAGGCCATCTGGCCCTGCAGACCTGCCCCAGAGTCCTGGCTTAGCTTTGCCTCCCACTCTGCTCAGGAGAAGGCCAGCATAACAGGGGTCCCCCTCCTACCCAGACACCACCCCCAGAAGAGAAAAATGTGGGTGAAGATGAGAATGAGAGGGGCTGGGGAAAAGACCAAACTATTACGAGGCTCCTGGGTCTAGCCGGCTGGTGCCATTAACTGCAGGTTGTTACCACCCACTGTTCTTCCTGAGTGCCCTCCATGGTGGGTGAGCTCATTCTCTGAGTTTGCTCTACACCCCCATCCCAGGGGGCTGAAGTTTGAGAGCCAGAGTGCCCAGTGATCCCTAGGGAGGAGGGGAAGGGACTTGGGGTCCCTTACACCCCTTGAGTCCCTAATCCAATTCCAAGCATGATTCCAATCCACAATCACTGTATGTCAGGACCGGAAAGGAACTCGAGGGTCTCACTGCCTAGGAATTCCCTGACAAAAAAGATGAGAAGCCTGCTGCTTCAGAGACCTCCGCGGGGAGAGCCCACCCCCCACCCAGGCAGTCCACCCCACTTTGGCACGGCTTTCATTGTTAGAAAGTATTTCCTGATGTCCCCCTGAAGGCTAGCGAGCCAGCCAGCCAGGGGGACACAGAGAAACCCACAGCCCTCCAGAGAAATGGACGTACAGAAAACCTTCCTCCCTGGAGAAATAGACACTCGCACTCATAGAGTCACAACCTGCCAGGTAAATACTCACACACCATGTCCAACACAATTCCCTCCCTCCATACTACAGGATTCTGCCCTCTGGGGCCAAGCAAAACAAAGCTAATCCCTCTGCCACAAAATGCTGCTGTTCAGTTAATTCAGTCGTGTCTGACTCCCTGTGACCCCTTTTGGGGTTTTCTTGGCAGAGATACTGGAGTGGTTTGCCATGTCCTCTTCCAGCTCATTTTACAGATGAGGAAACTGAGGCAAGCAAGGTTAAGTGACTTGCCCAGGGTCACACAGCTAATAAATGTCTGAGGCTGGATTTGAACTCAGAAAATGAGTCTTCCTGACTCCAGGCCTGGAGCTTTGTGTACTATGGTGCCACCTAGCTGCCTCTTCTACAAGACAGTCCTTCCCATGATTAAAGACAGCTAATAATGTCACTCCTGAGTCTTCTCCAAGTAAATATTCCTAGCTTTTTCATCCACTCCTCACATGGCATGCTCTCTGGACCATTCCCCAACTTGATTACGCTCCTCTGGACACTCTCCAATTTGTCAATATCCTTGAATGCAGCGGCCAGAATGAAGCCCCATAGGCCAGGTAAAGTCTTTCCAGGCAGACGGAGTGGACAGCAGATGACCGCCCATCTAATGCCCTGACACAGGCTGTGATTGCAGCGGCTTTCTTGTCACTCGGGAAGGGGCTGCATGGAGTGTTAGGTGGAGTATTGAGTTGGGAAACACAGGACCTGAATCTGAAGCCCCTTCCTAGCCACGTGACCTTGGACAAAGAACACACTTAATCCTCAGGGGCCTCAGTTTCCTTATCTTCTAAATGGTCAGAGCAGGTGACCTTGAAGGCTTCAATGAGCTCTCCTTATTCAACCCCCACCAGAAAGAGGAGACCTGGGCTTGAATCCCATCCATGGCACTATTGACCTGACAGTCAACAAACCAATCAATAAGCATTGATTAAGTACCAACTATTTGCCAGGCGGTGGAAATAATCAACTAGCTTTTATTGTGCATGTGTGTAAACAGTCATTTTCAGTTGTGTCTGACTCTTTGTGACCCCATTTGGGGTTTTCTTGGCAGAGATACTGGAGCAGTTTGCCTTTTCCTTCTCCAGCTCATTCAACAGATGAGGAAACTGAGGTAAACAAGGTGAAGTGACTTGCCCAGGGTCACACAGCTAGGAAGTGTCTGAGGCCAGATTTGAACTCACAAAGCTGAGTCTTCCTGATTCCAGGCCCAGTGTTCTATGCACTGTGGCACCACTTGGCTTCCCAAGCATTTATTAAGTACTTACTATTTGCCAGGGGGTGAGAATAGTCAACTAGCATTTATTAAGTACTTACTGTGTGTCAGACAAGTACAAAAGATACAAAGATAGAAACCCAAAACTGTTTAAGCTATTAAAACTGCATTAAGACCTTTGGAAGACCTTTATATGTACAAAGAAATGAAACAGTCTCTGCCCCTGAGTCACCCCCATTCCCCTGGAGCAGACAGCAGGCACAATCACCTGTCTGAGCCTCATTTTCCACACCTGTAGGATGAAGGGGGTTGGACTAGTTGACCTTTACAGCTACAGAGGCTCTAACCCTTAGAACTGGGCCAATGGAGCTGGATGGGCTGATAGATGGGGAATGAGTCTCCCACCAGGTGCCCTCAGTTCTCCCCTCCCTCTCCCTAGTTAAAAGTGCCTGGTTCAGCTATGAGCCAAATAGGAGAATGTCACTGGATCTGTCTTGGGCTCTCAGAATGACCCAAGGGGCCCTGGCAGACAGAGGGAGAGGCTCCATTAGGAACCAGGGGCCCTGAATACACAGAGAAGATGCTGAGCTTGACAGATACATTTTATTAAAAAATAAAGTAACACAAAAACAAAAACCAGCCAAGGCAAAGGAGCCTTGTACTCCCTCCTAACACTGCGGTGGTTAAAAGCTTTCACCCTCGTGTGCTAGGCGGCCTCGGCCAGATAAATAAAGACGGATAGAGACATCTACAAAATTCCAGACAAATGTACCCATAGACATTCCACCCCCTGCCCCAGTGCAAAAGCATGCATGCACAGACACTTACAGCCCTCCAGATAAATACTCTCAGAGACAGATATACAAGTGCAGGTATACACATGATACCACACACGTATACACACACACATACACACACACACACACACACACACACACACACACAACGGAGGGCAGAGCAATACTGACGGCGGGGAGGGATTTGGGCCTCCCGAAGTGTGTCCTTGTGGTAGGGCTGGGCCGTCCTAGATCTTCAGCCCGGACTGCAGCCAGGGCCCTCGGAATCGCCCATGGACCGTGATGCTGACAGAAGGTGCCTGAAGGGGGACGCCTCCTGAAATGGAGCTTCCTGAGGGGACCTCCGCCTCCCACAGGGGCTGAGATAGGTCCTGCTGGATGGCCAGCACCCTCACTCCCTCTCCAGGCCCCTCCGAGGCCTCCACACTCATCATCCCAAACCCAAGGAGGCGGCGGTAGCCCAGGACGAGGGCCAGGGCCACTGCATCAAGCAGGAGCTCCAGCATTTCCACGACAGAGAGCACTGAGGACCCAAACCACAGGCTCCACAGACTGCCCATGCTTGACAGGAGCTGGGTGACCTGCTCGGGGAGGGAACAGGCCCGGGGAGTGTGAGCAGTGCAGCCCGGCCAGGCACTCTCTCCCCAGCCAAGGTCCCAGCAACTGGACACAGCCCGAAGCCTTGCCCCCTCCACAACCGATCCTCTGCTTGGGCCTTCTTCCCTGGGACCCAGCCCCCTTCCCCTCGGGCCATTCCTCCTATCCCAGTCCCTACCCACTCATTTGCCCATTTCCCAGTGTCCTGGTCTCTTCCCTTTAATTCCCCAGCTCCTCAAGGCCCAGCCCCAGGGACCACAGAATCCAGCCTCTTTCTTGGACCCAGCCCCTCCATCCCAATTCCAGCAGGATCCTAGCCCCTCTCCCTCAGGGCCCTCAGGGTTCAGCCCCACCCCTCTGGCCCCTCTGTCCAGCCACCTTTGGCCTAGCCCAGCTCACCGAATACACCGGAGTTTCATCCACGGAGCGATAATTGAGCTGCTGGTAGAATATGTGGACCTTGGTGACGCTGTTCCTGCCCAGGAGAAAAGCCACCAGGGGATGAGCGAACGGTGGTCTCCCATCCCCCTTTCCTACCCTTCCCATCTGGGCCCCCAGTCCCCTGGGTGGGCTAAGAGGAGCCCACTGGGCTTAAGACAGAAGGTGCTGAGAGGCTGGTGGTCCAGGTAGGCAGGTCAGGATGGGCAATGGATTTTATAAAGGAGCCTGCACCTCACCCCAGACCTACCTTTTTTCCCTGGAATTGTTCTTCTTGTCCAGCGTGGACAGGATCCAGTCCTACACAGAAAAGACTTCATTAAAGGGTCCGTGCTCAGACCCTTCCCCAGCCTGCCTCTTACCAGCATCTGCATGAAGGGGATGGAGGGCGATGGCCTCCTGGGGCATGGGGGAGGAGAGCAGAAGCTGAGGGGCCTCTGTCATTTCCTGGCTCTGTGGCCTTGGGCCAGTCCCTTCACCCCTGTGGGACCTGTTTTCTTCATCTGTAAAATGGGGGGGAGGGTTGGTCCCTTAGAAGGTCCCTTCTAGGTCAAGATTTGAATTTGTGCTCTGTTGCATAACCCACATGAGTGTGTTTCTGTGCATGTGTGTTGGGGGTAGGGGGAGACAAGCATTTATTAAGCTCCTACTGGATACATTCACTGTGCTAAGCGCTTCACAAATATTAGTTCATTTGATCCTCACAACGGCCCTGGGAGGGAGGTGCCATTATTATCCCAAATTTATGGTTGAGGAAGCTGAGGCAGATAGAGTTAAAGTGACTTTGCCAGGGTCACACAGCAAAGAAGTGTCTGAGGATGGATATGAATTTGCATCATCTTGACTCTAGGCCCAGCGCTCTATCTTGTATACCACCACCTGCCTTGGTAGTGTGTGCCCAGATGCACACACATTCATGTGTACATGTATGCACATGTGTGTGCATGTGGGGAAGGTTAATCCTCCATAGAAAGTATGGGGGAGGAAAGAACCTTGAAGACTCAGCTTGGGGGTGTTGGAACAGGCCTCTTCGGCCAGAATTTGTTTCCCAGAGGACTCTGAGTTTTCGGGCTCTCTGACCCGCCCCCTCCCATCCCCACCCCAGCTTTGGGGCCTCTTTACCTCTGCCTTAGATGATGGCCACTTGGCGACCCCTGCTGAGAGATGGTACAAGGATTCCCTGGGGAGATACCAACAGGCCCCACCTGGGTTAGAGGGCAGCAGGCCGATTGCCTCCTCCCCCACCCCGACCCCCACCTCCACGATCCCCCTAGCACCTGGAGATGCAGCCGCTCCCTTACCAGCAGGGCTTGGGGCAGCGGCTGAAGCAGGGGAGCCTGTGGGCCTCCAGGTTTTGGTACAGTTTGTAGAAGCAGTGACCTAGGAGGGGGAAGGCAGGAAAGTCTGGTGGTCAGCATCTGTGTGCCAGGTGGGTATCCAGGATCCCGGGGGTAATTGGGCAGGGGATGGTAGGTGGGTAATGGGGCAGCTTGTGAGCTGGGACCATTCTTCTCCGATTGTGTGTGAGGAGGGGTATGTGGAATGAGGTAGGGATGATCCAGCCTGAGTGGAGATCCTGAGCCCCAATACTAGCCAAGTCCTCCATGGATGGGGAGGAAGGCCCCACATCAGAAGAGAAGCCAATGGGATCGGGGGGACACTGAGGCATGGTGTAGGAAGAGCCTTTGGGGAGAAGTGGCTGACAGTCTCCCTGCCCACCTATAACCTCCCCCTCCCCCTCCCTTGCCAGGATGGCTCCCAGGCCTTCTCCTCACCCCAAGCTGGATACTGGTTGTAGTTGCAAAACTGGGCTCCCTCCGGGAGTGGGTAGAAGTAATAACCACAGCCACAGGTCTTGATCATTAGCTCCTGGAAGCAGGAGTGCAAGCAAGCCTGAGGGGAGAGGGGGAGAGGCACCTTGGAGCTGAGCTCCCCTCCTCCCCTCCCCCTGTAGCTTTCCCCTGGCTGGAGTGGGAGAATGACTGACCACTCCCTTCTTTCACCCCAGACCTCAGGGCTCTGGGCAGCTAGCCCATGGGGTGTCTCTCAGACACTCACCCCCAGGGGCTCCTCTGTTTGTCAGGCTGCCTGCTCTGAGAGGGCCACCCAGCTGCCAGGGAGTGCCCAGGATCCTTCTGGGCAGCGGGCAAGGGTGTCCCCAGGGTTCTGCCGGACATGCCAGCTATCTTCAGGTATTGGAAGGGCTACCCTTGGGATGAGTACTTAGCTTTATTCTGCTTGACCCCCCAGGGTAGTCCCAGGAGCAGCGGCAGATGTTGGCTGGGTGTCCTTGAAGAGTCAACGGCTCTTCTCTGGGGCCCAGAGTGGGCTGGGACCTTGACAAGGAGTGGGGAGGAAGAGAGCTCTCTCCCTTGTTAGAGGTCTTCAAGCAAGGGCTGGACGCCCAGACATGAGGGCGGGTGGAAAGGGTCTCTTTTTGAGGTGATGGTTACACAAGAGGGTTGAGGACCTGCTGGGAAGGGGGAAAGGGTAGGGTGACATGGAGTGGGAGGGGAAAGGCCGATACCTGCGTGGAATAGGCGCTGTCATAAAGAAGCTGGACATCCACGTCCCCACCATCCTTTGTGCAGCGGTCATACTGCCCCCCTAGCCGGTGCACCTCATCCTGGGGAGACATAAAGGGTGGCCCCCTCAGTCCTCTGCACTGGCTTCCCCACACACAGGCTGGGGCCCAGCTGTCTTCAGGTCAGTTAGTAGGTCACTGGGGGAGCGGGGCGGGCACCTTATTGGGAGGCTGGGAGAGTATGTTGGTGGATGACATCAGAGAGGCCCCAGGAGGGAGAAAGGGGGACAGGGGCCGATCTTAGGGCCAGGGACAACAGTTAAGATCACAGATCTAGAGCCGATGAGGCCAGTCCTATTAGGGGAGGGGGAACACACCCCCTCTGAGTCCTAGCCCCTGCTGCTGATAACGCAACCTCTAACCGCTGAGGTACCTCAGAGACCACAGGATCATGGAAGTCATCTAACACAATCTTTCCATTTTACAGGTGAGGAAACCGAGCCCACAGAATAAGTGACTTGTCAAAGTCACCCAACTGATCAGTAGAAAAGCTGAGTTTCTGACCCAGGTCCTCTGCCTCTAAATCCACCATTCTCTGCCTCCTGCTGTGGCCAGCCATCTTGTCCACTCTGCTCAGGCCATCTTGTACTGAACCTCCCAGCTCCTTGTCTCTGGGGCCCTGCCTCAGCCCTCTCCCCAGCTCCCTGGCTCACCTCCCTCACACCGATTGTGGTCTCAGTGCCTGGACGGATGCTGAAGCCCTGGTACTCCAAGAAAGGTGTCTGGTTCCGGGCATGGATTATGACCTTGACCCCAGCCTCAGTGGACAGCAATGGGAGGTGATCATTCTGCTCGGCCTTGAGAATGAGGCTGATTCCTGGCAACAAGAAAAGGAGGATGAGGGAGGCTGTTGGCCCAGACATGTGCAGCTCTTTCCACTCCAGGCTAGGCTCAGGGGCCCAATCAGAGAGCCAGAACCCCAACATTCAAGGCTTCTGCCATCTGACGCCAATCTACCTGGAGTGTTTTTCTCACACTATGCCTCCCTCCCTGCCCCTTGCCATATTTCATGGTCCAGCCCAAACGTGTCAGACACATTGCCCGCAGGCTACATATGGCCCAAACCTTCCTGAGTATGGCTCAAACCAGATTCAAATGCAAATGAGAAATACTTGCCAAAATAAAAATGCAATAAAACATAGATAATATTCCATTTTAAAACCAAGTTTCTATGTAGCCCTTCCTTATGGTAGGCTCAGTGGCCCTGGTTCTCATTGAGTTGGACACCACTGGTTGGGCCAAACTGGACTCCATATTTGTAGGGTCCCTCCCAGAATCTAGAGCCCTTCCTTCAGACAATCTCATCTGCCTTCCCATATGCTTTCCTAGTACTGCCTCCCACGCTTGGGGCATATACCCTGCCACTTCATCCCCCATCTGATGAAGACCTTTCCTTCTTATCAAGGCCTGGCTCAGTGGTCACTTCCTCCATGGAACCTGCCCTGATTCCACATTTCTGCAGCCCTCTGCATCCCCATATGGGGAGTACTTGCCCTCCACCTTAGGTACACGTTTGTTGAATTTAAGTGAATTAGAGTGCCTGAGCAGACATCGTCACCCTTAGCAGGATGATGGAGTCACGGAAGTTTGTCCAGGGGTCTCAGACCTCCGCTGCTCTGTGCCCTACTTTGGTGTTGTCTCCTGCCTGCCCGGCCCTCATCCTCGGCCTGCCACAAACACTCTGGAGGACCTAAGCCAAGCCCCCCCAACTCCTTTGGATCTCAGTGCCTTCATCTAGAAAATGATTCTAATCCATAACCTCCATTAAAGGAATTTGAATTTAACAAGGATCAAAGCCTTCCCCCCCCCCCCAATTCTAGCTTCAGGAAACAGCTTCTCACTAAATTATTAGCATTATTTCAAGGTTGGGAGGGAGGAGTATATCTAGGGTCCTTAATTTATCATTTTGTTCCCTAGGATCAGATATTTAGTGATGAAGAGGCCTAGGAGGTCATCGGGCCCAACCTTATCACATGGAAACTGGTTCCCAAAGAAGGGAGGTGATTTGTCTGAAACTGGTAGAATCGGGATCTGACTCCAGGCCTCTGATAACAATCAGATTCTCCTCTCTGCATTCTTTTCCTGTGGGTTAAGGTCAACCACGCTCCAAGGGGTGCATGAAGGCATGGCAAGTCCTATATGCTTCATTAGCACTCCCATCCCTCAAGTCTCCAAGTCCCCTGTGCTTTCCTCCCCACGATAGGCCCCTGCTGCACCTACCATGAGTGAGCCCTGACCGATCGGCTTTCCAGAAGCCATTCATTCCTCGATTGTTGAATGTATAACAGCTCCCATAGATGGGGTGATGGAAGAACTGATAGTCCCTGTGGAAAGCCAAAGAAGTTTGTGTGATTAACCCCAGATGAGCTGGTCTGGGCCCTTGGGATGAGTTGAAATGACCCCAGACCCTTCTCTGCTCTTCCCTCACAATGGTGCACCCTTAGCTTGGCCCCAAGTCCTTGGTTCATTTGGTTCCTTGGATTTAGGACTAGAAGGCACCTTAGCAATTATTTAACCATAATATCAGGGCAGCTAGGTGGTGCAGTGGGTAGAATGCCAGGCCTGGAGTCAGGAAGACATATCTTACTGAGTTCAAATCTAGCCTCATCTACTTATTAGCTGTGTGATCCTGGGCAAGTCACTTAACCCTATTTGCCTCAGTTTCCTCATTTGTCAAATGGGCTGGAGAAGGAAATGGTAAACCCTGCTAGTATCTTTGCCAAGAAAACCCAAAATGGTGTCATGAAGAGTCCAGTACATGACTGAAACAAGTGAACCACCACCACCACCACCACCACCACCACAATGTTACCCAGTGTCCCAGACTTAGAGAAGGAAGGGATTTTCTGAGATCAGATTTTGCAGAAAAAAGGCCACCCAGAGAAATGACTTGCCCAAGGTCACACAAGAAATAAATGGCTGAGCCAGGATTCAAACTCTTAGTCTCCTGACTCTAAAGTTAGTGGTTTCTCCCTGCTCCACACACACCTAAGGAGCAGCCCAGGGTCAGGCTTTGCAGCCCCAGCTTCTGTCCCTGTCTTCCCAAGGCCTTGCAATGTCCCTGCTTTGCGATTCTCAGCCCTGGATCTGGGCGGCTGTGGCCTGGGGTGGGTATGGAGGGGGCACAGACAGTAGATGCTGGCCACAAGGCTGGTTCCCCATTCTCTCCTCACTGTGTCATCTGCCCTGCCCCACTCGTGGCTTCTCGCTCTTTCCTGGTTGCCCTTCATGTCTCCCGGCATACCACCCACCCCCAGCCCCTCACTGCTCCTAATAACTTCCTTTACCCCACCCCCATGGCTCCTGATATGTTGCCCCTGATATATTAATCATTTTCCTCTAGTTTCTTACTTTCTAGGCCCCCCTCCTGCCAACCACACTGTATTCAGGACTTTGCTAACCTCCACTCCTGTTTACCAGTCATCCTGATCATCCCCTCCTCCTGTGCCCTCTCCTCCCAGCTACCCCCTCCTCTCACCGGTCCTGAGAGTCTCGCCCTCCCTCTCAGGGCCCCCTCTTCCCCAACCCCCAGACCTCCTGCTCCCCTAAAGCCCCTTTATCTACTCCTAACAGGCTTGCTGGCACCCTTCCCCCAGCCCTTCAGTCTAACCCCTTTCTCTGACATTCCCCCACTCTCTGATTGCCTTTCCCCTTATCTCTTCTTCTCTTCTTCTTCTTCTTCTTCTTCTTCTTCTTCTTCTTCTTCTTCTTCTTCTTCTTCTTCTTGCAATGGGGTTAAGTGACTTGCCCAAGGTCACAAAGCTAGTAAATGTCAAGTGGTTGAGGCTGGATTTGAACTCAGGTCCTCCTGACTCTGGGGCCAGTGCTCTATCCACTTCACCACCTTGCTGCCCCCCCTTATCCCTTCTTGATAGCACCCCCTCCCAGTTCTCATTGTCCTCCGCCCCATTGACTGGGCTTCACTGTAGGATGTGTCATTGCCCCTGAAAGGCTCTCCCCACCTCCCCAGTGCCCTAACCGTCCCCACCCTCGGATCACGCCCCTGCCACTCACTTCTTCTGACAGGCCCCACCACTGTCGCAGCAGCTGGAGATGAAGTCGCTGCCACGGGATTCGTGGGCTGTCTCGTTGTACGGTGGCAGCAGGGACATGATGTTGATGAAGTGGAACCGGTACCAGTCCCGGATGGCCGCAACCCCAGAGGAGTGGGCACGGTGAAAGCAGTCACCGCCTGTGCTGTTACACTGCAGTGGAGGAGAGAGGCATCGGGGGCACCCCCTGGGATTGAGAGACCCTGCCCCTCACCTGAGACCCTCCGTCTGCCCAGAAAGACCTGGAGTCAATGAACACCATTGCAGACCCAACCATGGGGCTCTCAGCTCTCCCCCACCTGGGCCCCCTTACCACCTGTTATCTATTCAGCCTCCCCCAATCTCTCTGAGAGGCAATGGGCCTATTCGATTGCTCAGCTAGCCTGTTCACCCATGTGTATACTGCTCATATGAGCCTCTCTGTGTCTGCCTCCATTGTTCCTGCATGGAAGCAAGCCTAGGCTGTAGAATTTGAGGGCTTCCTGATGAGTGGCAATGCGGAAAAGGGAGTGGCTTTGGAATTAGAGGCCCTGGGCTTGAAGAATCTCTGAGTCTCCAAATCAGAAGAGACCTCAGAGGTCATTGAGGCCAACGCAGGAGTCCTTTCTACATCACACCTGAGAAGTTTTCCAGATACACTGTGTGTGGTCATGCCTCCTCCAAATTGATTTCTTGAGCCCAGATGTCAGACTTCACATTTATCCCTAGGACATTTCATCTTCTCAGATTTGGCCCAAAGTTCTACCCTGTCAAGATCTTGTTGGAGCCTTACTCTGTCACCCAGAGTGTCAGCTAACCCTTCCAGCTTTGTGCCACATGAAAATCTGATAAGTATGTCATCTATATATTTGACTAGGCAGCTAGGTGGCACAGTGAATAGAGCATCATGGCTAGAGTCAGAAAGACCTGAGTTCAGATCTGCCCTCAGACACTTACTAGCTATGTGACCCTGGGCAAGTCACTTAACCTTGTTTACCTCAGTTTCCTCATCTGTAAAAGGAACTGGAGAAGGAAATGGCAAACCACTCCAGTACCTTTGCCAAGAACACCCCAAATGGGGTCATGAAGAGTCAGACACAAGTAAAAAATGACTGAACTTTGAACTCTGACCCTTTCTGGCTATGTGACATTGGATAAATCCCTTTCCCTCTCTGGGCTCCAGTGTCCTTAGCTTTAAAATGAAGATGACCTCCGAGTTCCAAACTCTAACATTCTGGGATGTTGAGTCACACCACGGGGTCTAGCATCTCCAACTTCCAGTCAGAAAGACCATACTCCCCACCCCACTGCCAGACACATCCATTTTTATTGACTCTGTCCTTGGAAGAGTGATATCCCTTGTTATTTGGGAAGAAGAGGTGGTGGGAGGTTGCACTCACCAGCCTGAACCCCACTCTGTTAATGGCCTCCCTGTCCAGCTTCTCTAGGTAGATACTTCGGTCGAGGTGAAAGGACCTGTTAGAACTGGGTCCAGTAGCAGGGTAGCCTTGCCCCCCAGCCTGTCTTTCGGTGATGTTTAACTTGTATAAGGAATAGATATTCTCCTGGGCAAATTCATCCAGGTCTTCCAGGTATCGCTTCACGAGCAGAGACCTATGGGATGATAAGATTTAGAAGCTGGGGTGGGGCAGCTAGGTAGCACCATGGTGGATACAGCACAGGGCCTGGAGTCAGGAGGACCTGAGTTCAAATCCAGCCTCAGGCACTTCCTAGTTGTGTGACTCTGGGCAAGTCACTTAATCCTGATTGCCTCCTCCAGGAAAAAAAGAAGAGATTTAGAAACCAGCACATAGTATGCACTTAACCATTTGTGTTGGTAGATGGATGGATTGAGCTTGGGCCCTCAGTTAAGGATCTCTGTGACTCAAGGATACACAGGCCCTGACCCCTTACCTATGAGGGTTCATGTCGCACAACGTAACGGATGGGAACATTTTGGGCTCTGAGTGGAGAGAGATGGTCATGATGACCGAGTATTTCCAGTACTGGTTGAAGAGAAGCCCAAACTGCCAGTAAAGCATGCCAAAGGAGGCCAAGAAGAGCATGCTCCAGAAAGCTGTCTTCAGGCGGTTGTGGCTGGAGCAGACGAGCCGCACTGTGCCATGGATGGTTGTGTTGGTGCAAAAAAAGTTAAACATGTCCCTGAAGGAGTCATAGAGCTCAATCAGCCCCTCACTCTTCTGCTGCTCCCCAGGGCTCTCCATTGTCCCAAACCTGGAGTCAAGGAGGAAAACCGGCTCGTTACCTAGGGTTGAACATTCATTCCCCACTCCCTAGAGCTGGCTTGTGGAGATCTGTGCCTTGGGGGCTCTTGCCTGGACATGGAGCTGCCTCAGTGGCTTCTGCGTGCCCTTTGGTTCAAGGACAGCTGCTAGCATCTGCTAAGCACGTCATCTAACACTATTGCATTGGAGGGCAGCTAGGTGGTCCAGCGGATAGGAGCACCAGCCCCACAGTCAGGAGGACCTGAGTTCAAATCCAGCCTCAGACACTTCCTAGCTGTGTGACCCTGGGCAAATCACTTCACCCTGTTCGCCTCAATTTCCTCATCTGTAAAATGAGCTGGAGAAGGAAATGGCAAGCCACTCCAGTATCTCCACCAAGAAAGCCCCAAATGGGGTCACCAAGAGTCAGACATGACTGAAAACGATTCAACAACATCCCATTGGAGCCTTGTAAACACTCTGCAGAGGTAATGATTAAACGAGATGATGATTGTAAAGTGCTTTCCATGGTCCCTGGTACCTTTTGTTGTTCAGTCATTTCAGTTGTGTTCGAGATGCAGTGAGTGACCTTGGCCTTTCTAAATTAAGGTATTTTCTGGGCCTCAGTTTGTCTGAAGCAATGTCCATTAGGTGCCACTATTGCGCCCATTTGACAGATGAGGAAACTGAGTCAAGCAGAGGTGAAGTCATACCGCTCCAGGTCCAGGTGCCACCTAGCAGCCTCATTAATCCCAGTGACATTTCTACAGTGTTTTCAGGCTTGCAGTCTTTTGCATCTGTTACCTCAGTTGACTTTCACAACTTTAGGAGCTGAGTTCTAGTGTTAGCCCACCGATGTTCAGAGAGTTGAAGTGACTTGCCCAGGGTGGTCATACGGCTACAAAGAATCAGATTTGAATCATAATCTTTGTGACAGTAAATCCAGGACTTTGTCATGTCACACTCTCCCTGTCTTGGGGCATCAGGCCAGTGGGCACTAAAGGTCCGTCATGAGCATGCACAGAGCTAGTGTCTCTCCTGAGATCCCGGCCCAGTCAACACAGTTTGGTCAATAGTGAAGGATCCACTGTGCGCTGGGCCCTGCTGGGATCTGACTGGGAGCCTTCATCATCGCATGAGCCTTGGGAGAAGGGAGGCCAGGGCAGGGCAGAGGAAATGACCAGAAGAGGCTGAGGACTCTCAAGGCAGGACCCTGCTGACCTTCCAGCCAGGACCTGCGAGCTAAGGATGAGCTGGGCAGAGCAGGCTGGAAGCTAGTAGAGGACAGGACAGGGAGGTGCCGCCCACTTCCGTTGGGATCTGGGTCATGGGTGTGTGAGCCTGTTAGCTGGAATTGTGTCTCTGGACATTCCTGACTTGCCCTTCATTGTCCCCTTGGAGCAAATGGAATGACAAATCTCTGAGGGCTCGTGAGGACAGTGTGGTGCAGTGGGAGGCTTGCTAGGTCTGGAGTCAGGCAAACTGGGTTCGAATCCCTTATAACCTGTGTGACTCGGAGCAAGGCATCTCTCTTCTCTGGGCCTTAGTTTCTCTCTCTGTAAAATGAGGGGATTGGACTAGATGGCCTTTAAGTCTTTTTCAGCTATAAATCACTGACCCCATGACTTTGGGTTGCTAAAAGGCCCTGGAGGGAGGAGAGAGGCCAGGATGGCATCTTTGGGGGCAACACGCATGCGCAAAGGAAAGTACCCTGCCAGGGGTGCAGGCCATCCTGTGGCTGGGGATGACCCAGAGGAAGAACTAAATCCTGGCCACTTCCTGCCCCCTTTCTCCTCACGTACACTATACCCAGAGGTGTACCCCAGGCACACCCCCTTCTGCTCACAGGCCCCCTCCTCTTGCCTTGGGAGAGGCCCATTCCCACCCCATAATCAAGCAGCCCTTATCAGTAGGTCTGGCCAGGCCAGGTCAGAACCGGGTCTCCCAGGGCCCCCAGGGAGGCCTGTTTGTCCTGGGCTGGGTGCTACAGGGGCAAGGCTCAGCAATGGAGTTATCAAAGGCTGTGGGGAGCTATGTGGGGGAAGAAGGGAGGGAAGATGCATACACACTCACACTCACAAATACACACACTCAGACTCATACACTCACACACTCACACACTTACATACACAACTCACATACACACATTCACATATACACACACATATACTCACTCATACACATATACATACACGCACACACACTCATACATACTTGTATACCTACATATACACTTACACACATTCACACACACACACTTGCTCATACTTACTTGTATACTTACATATACACTCACACACACACATCTATACACTCACATTCACATATACACACACTTACATACACACATTCACACACACATACACATACACACATACATACACATACACACACTCACATTCACATATACACACACATACTCACACATACTCACTCATACACACTTATATACTTATCTATACACTCACACACACACACACGCTTCTAGTGTCCTATGAGCCCTTTCCTCTGTCACCCATTGGCCCTGAATCACCAGGTTCTGAGGAGCGAGGTTGCCAGCTGACTCCTGGGTCTGGGTGGAGCAGAACAGTGGAGCTCGGGGCCTCAGAGGTTCTGAGCAGGGCCTGCCACCGATGGCCAGGAGCTGGCCAGCGTCGGACTTGTGTAGCACCCACAGATAACAAACAACTCCAGTCTCCTCACTTGGCCTCCTGGAATCCTCCCTGGGGCCTGCACATGCTCTGTCTTGTGGGAACAGAGCAGGTCTGCCCATGTGCTCCAGAGGGACATGCATGTTGGTGTTGGCCTGTGTGTCAGATCCATGTAGGTATCCATCTGGGTGGAGTGGGGAGAAAGGAGGCAGGCATAGGAATTTGGAGAAACTGAGGCCTTGGTTTCTATACCTGCTGAATGGGCTAGAACCCCAGGAAGCTGATATGTAGGGGGAAGGGGCTGGGGACAAGCATTAAGCACTTTACAAATATTATCTTATTTGATTCTTACAACAATCCTTTGATTTAGGCACTATTTTTATCCCCATTTTACTGTTGAGGAAATTGAAGCAGACATAAGTTAAGTGACTTGCCCAGGGTCACTCAGTTAGCAAGTGTCTGAGACTGGATTTGAAGCCAGGTCTTCCTGACTCCAGACCCAGAGCTCTTTCCACTTTGTCCCCTAGCAAGTCCAAGGGCTGGAGCTGTGGCCATCTCCTCTACCTGATACGAAGAGAGCATCAGGACCTGTGCCTGGAACGAGACAGTTCGAAGCCACATCCATAGGTGTGTCAAGAGTTGGTCACCTTTCAGGAGTAGCTGGCAGTTACTTTCTCAGGTAATATTGACCAGCAAGTTCACTCCCCTCCTTGGAGGTCTTCAGGCAGAGGCTGGACAATTACTTACCAGGTGTCTTATAGTGGGGATTCCTCTTACGTTGGGGTTGGAGTACAGAGGGCTGCCGAGTACACTTCCAACTCTCCAATTCTGTGATTCTGTGATCCTTCTCTCTTCCCACCCCCAAATCCTTAGAGCCTTCTCTGTCGAGTGGAGCATCAGGGTACCCGGATATGCCAGAAGCATTTGTCTAAGCTGTAAAACTTGACTTTAAGCTTCAGGGCTCCTATGAGCTCAAAGATTAAGGAGCAAGAGAGGGCTGACCTTGGGAATAGTCACTCACTCACGAAACAAGGGGAAAAAACACCTCTTATTCATGCAGAAAGCAAAGGCACAGAAACACATTGTAGGTTGGGGTAGGAAAAACAAGACAAAACAAAAACCCCTCCCAATCATGAGAGGTATCCCAGAGCAGAATGGCTTACTTCTGGAGGTGCTAAGTGCCCCATCACTGGAGGTCTCAGAGTAGAGGGTGGATGGCTGCTTCTCAGAAATATTGGAAAGGGGATTACTGACCAGGTCTGGGGTGGAGGTCCTTCCAGCTAGGAGATTCTGAGATTCTTCTTCCTTGTTCCCTTCCCCCTGCCTCCTGAGACCCTACTAGTTCAGGGACAGTTCATACAGAGAATGGGTGGTTCTGGTTTCCCGCAGGCTGCGTGTGAGTTGTAACCTTTTACCATGAATTGAGGGAACTGCACAGGCCTCTCAGGATCATTGTTTAGATCCCACGAGGCAGGGAGGTGGGGCCAGTTGCCAACCCTGGCCTACAACCAGAGGACCTCCCAACTCAGGGTGGACCAGAGGTTAGCTATCTGGAGGGGAGGAGAAGGCTAGCATACACCTGCTCTCCCCTGAAATGAAGAATGTAGAAGAGGCATTTGGGGGCCTCCAGCTCCTATGGACATCTTTGCCTTGGCCTCACAACATCTCAGAAGAGCAAATGATACTCCTGGACTCTATCCTAGGATGGGCTTTCCCTCCTTTCACAGGCAATAATCCTTTCTCAGAGACTCAGAGTTGGAAGGGGCTTTGAGGTCACCTTGGCCAACTCCTTGCCTGATGGTCTGATGGCCTAATGGCCTGACTGGGCTTCAGTCACCTCTGTGCTTCTAGTATCTAATGGGAGGTGGTGTGGTGGAAAGAGGACTGAAACTGGAGTCAAAGGATCTGGGTTCAAATCATGACTCTGAGTAACTCTGAGCAAATCACTTCCCCTTCTGTCCCTTCAGTTTGGATGAGATCTCCCCACCAAGGTCCCTCCCAGCCTGACTCCTGTGATCACATGATCTGCATCCGCCTTTTTTGTCCTAAGACCCAGGGTGGCTGAATTGCAGAATTTGTGAGAAGTCCAACCCACACAGTAAAGAAATATCCATTATAAGAATCCTCTAGATACGATTGCAGGCATCTGAGATCATTACTTGTCCAAGGAGAAAGAACTAGGGAAGCAAACCTGCCCTGGCCTGAACCTGTCATGTCCTTCAAGGTCAAAGGAATTGGGCTGCCATTTTGTTTCACGTCATTAGTCCAGCTTTATTCCCCTGTGAGAGAAAGATGAGGCACAGCCAGGGATGCGTTTGTGTGCTCACTTCCTGTTCTCACCAGGGCTCT